TGGGCAGTCCATGCTGTCTTATTTCTCTTCATGGTTTGGGGGCCACCTCTGCCCCCCACCATTCTGTGTTCTGTCAGTTGGATGTGGAGAGGGTCCAAGCATCCGGGGCAAAGCCTTTTTCTCTTTCTCGCCTCTGCTGTCCACGTGGAGCTGCTCTGGAGCTCCTACACTGGAAAGGGAGGCCCCAGCTTTATAGGAAAAATTTTGAGCTGGTTCTTCTTGCTCCCATGAAAGACTCGGAGCCCAAGGGCCTGAGCAACTGGACACCTGAAGAATGTGCTCTGAGGAAAGGGGGTGGGGTCTCCAGAGAAAGGGATCAGTCGCCCTGGGCTCGGAGAGTCATCTGTGTTTATGGCTGGTGTTACAATGGGCAGCTTCAGGCTCCCAGGACCAGCACTCAAAAGGCAGGCCGGGTGTAAAGCAGCCATAGCCCAGAGGCCCCGTCTCGGTAAATGCTGGCATGAGGCTGGGGTGCAGCGTCTGCTCATACTCTGGCCTCCCCAGGTCCTGGGGATGTTCGATGGTCTTCAACAAGCCTCTCGGGTAAAGAGCTCTTTTTCCTTCCTCTAAGCTTGTTGGGGACAATCAGAAGGGAATTCTCTGTTCTAGAACCTCTCTGGTTTATATCTTTGTTTCAGTGGCCACTAAAAGCTGAGACTATATAGAAATATATACATATGCATGTATGTATGTACATACGTTTCATGTATGTGTGCATTATTACATATATATACATGTACATGCATTTGTATGTATGTGTATGTATTATGTATGTATGTATGTATGTGCATACATATGTATGTGGATTCTTGTTACTTGCTTTGACTTTGAACTCAGTCTGAGATTTGACAGAGAACTTAACCATAGTGTCTGTTTCTATATGTTTCTACATGTGGCTCTACATGGAGAGCGCTAAGGGAAGGGAAAAGTGGACCTTGAAGAGCCCAAGTGCTCCCAACAACCATGTGTGTACATGTGTTCATGCATGTGTGTGTGTGTGATTGTGTCTGCATGTTTATGTGCATGTATTTGTGTGCATATACCCATGAGTGTCTATGTGTATCTATGCTCATATATGCCTATATTTTGTGCGTGTGTCCATGTGTGTCCTTGTTTGTGTCTCTGTGTGCATATGCACACTAAAGACGGGGAGGGTGGGACCTAGCAGTGAAAGACTTTTCATCAAATTCCAGTCTCAGCTCTTCTCCTCCGTCTGATGGCAGAGCAGAGCTTCCCCACAGCTGGACTTGTTTGTTCTGGTGTCATCTGGAGGGAGGGGGCCCATACCCCTATAAATGATATGCAGTTTCCTGGGGGCTGAAAGAGCAGGTACTCAGCCGGGGGCCACATCCAACATTTTGGTGAAGACCATAGGGACCCAAGGCGGGCCTGATCCCGGGGCTGCCTCCTCCCTGGGATGCTTTCCTTCCCCACAGATGCTCTGGGCTTATTTGTCCTTTGACGCTTCACAGCCTGCAGGGGTGAAGGGAGACAGGTGCTCAGAACAGGGACAAGCTCTTGCCTTGCATAGGGAAGGGAGAGGAACATTCCAGCCTGAGGGTCTGATCTAGGACCTGTGTTCACATCCAGCCTCATCATCCCTCAGGACTCCTACACCATGGGACCCTATTCTAGTCAGAAGACAAGACAAGAGGCCCAGGCCTGTCCTTGGGGAGTCAGAGTCTGGGAGCAGAGAATACCTAAGAATAGCTAGACCCTACACTTATCACAGAGGGTCTGGCTTTTGGGAGCAGGGGGCTTCCAGAGCACCCACCCTCTCCTCTCTAGCCACAGTGAAGGCGGAGTGGCCTTGCCTTTACCTGGGCCAGCCTTTGTTCTCTTCTCAGGTGGCTAAAATGAAAGGCCCAGAACTCTTTCTAAAGAATCTGTTGTGTGGGCTTCTGCAGCTCCAACCCTTCCTGAAGCCTGAGGTACAGCCATCAGGGCAAGAATCCCCTGGCCAGGCAGGGGATTCTTACCTGTACTTACCTGTACTTACCTGACCAAGGCGATGTCTGAGAGGCCTCATTAGTCCAGACCTCAGGAAAGAGACATAAAGCCACTGAGAAAGGCTTAGGGACTTAGAACAGTTATTTTATAACCACATCAGGTTTTAATTAAAGAAAAGAAGTATGTAGCTTATTTCTGTGCTCTGAAGTGTGGGGCGACAGCGTGGTAAGAGCCACCAGGCAGGCTATTGCGTCTGTGACGTCCCTGCCCTCGCTCGGCAGCCTCACATGTAACCGCGTCCAGCCTCGAGGTGAGCTGTCCCCTCTTATCCCTTCTCCAGAGGCCTGGCAGCAGATGGCAGAACCAATACCATCATTTAACGAGAAACAAGTTGAACATGGTAATGACAGCATGGAGCAGCGCCCCAGTTTTGTTACAGCCTCCCCAAGGGCAGCAGATGAGGACACCACCCAGAGCCATGCTGCCTGGTCCCCACGCAGGCCCAGGAGAAGAGCCTTTGTGGGAAGTTGATCCGTCTCTGGATGCGACTTAAGAGGGCAAATGGCTTCTCAGTGTGCTGCCCGTAACTGGCAGGCAGCGGGTGCCTGCTCTTCAGCCATAGGCATACGTGGGCTCAGCCTCTTGTTTCAAGTCTCAGCTGCCTGCTTCTGAAGCTGCTCTTCCTCCCAGAACAGGCTGTGTGTTCCAGCATGTAAGGACCTAGGTCCGAATCCCAGCTCCAGCACTATGCTGCTAAAGGTTTTTTTTTTTCAGGAGGTGACAGGCAGAAACTTGCCTCTTGACCTAGACCAGTCAGAAAATTGCTGCCTGTAGTCACACGTGAAAATGTTTTACAGAAGTGGGAATCCAGAAAACCTCCTGAATGCCTGGGTTTATCCAAACCAGGTACCCAGGGGGCCAAGGTCCAAGGTTCTGCAAACCCCCAAATGTTACAAACAAGACCCTAAGGGTGTTTGTGACTATTCCCAGGGAAGGAATTGAAAGTCTTTATCCGCTTCCCAGAATTTCCTGTGGCCCAACAGCTGCTGGTTTTGTTTTGTGGTTTTTGTTTTTTTCAATGTGACACAAGACAGGTCAACTGGGAAGAAGCCTCAGTGGAGAAAATGTTCCCCCAGTTTGGCCTGTGGGCATTTTGTGGCGCGTTTTCTTGATTCATGACTGATGTGGGAAGGCCCAGCCCACTGTGGGCAGTGCCATCCTGGGCAGGTTGCCCTGGGTTGCATAAGAAAGCAGACTGAGCGAGCTCTTAAGCAGCTCCCCATAGCTCTGCTTCAGTCCACGCCTCCAGGTTCCTGCCTTGGCTTCTCTCAGTGGACTGTGACCAGGGATGAGTGAACCAAATAAACCCCTCCTCGGAGCAGTGGAAACTAACGAGACAGCCGTCAGATCTTCAGTCTCCGTGATCACTGTGCCCCTCTGAGCACCTTGCTCACATCCCAGTACAGTTACTTTTCTGTCCAGCATGAGGGAGGCTTACTGAATTGCTCCAGATCTGGCTCCCACAGAATCTAAATGTGACGTAACCCCGCCTTTCAGGCTAGCTCCAGACATCTGAGTTGGCTGATGCTTCCAGTGCTGAGGGCCCTGTTGGATGAATTGAATTCACTGATTATAAGAGGAATCCCAGAAACACTGTTTCTCCTTTAATGAAGACATATTGATGCTTATCCAGTCTGTGGGTTTCTTTGTTTGTTTGCTATTTGGGGTTTTTGAAAGAGTCTTGCTATGCAGCCCAGGACGGTCTCAAACACTCAGCAACCCTCCTGCTTTCGACTTCTAAGTACTGAGACCAGGACGGCATGGTGGTGCATACCCTTAATCCTAGCACTGGAGAGTCAGAGGTGGCGGATCTCTGTGAGTTAGAGGCCAGCCTGGTCTACACAGTGAGTTCCAGAACAGCCAGAGCTACATAATAGAGAGATTTTGTCTCAAAAAAAAAAAAAAAAAAAAGTGCTAGAACCCCAGGTATGTGCCACCATGCCTAGTTTATCAAGGCCTGTTTGATGTGTCCATTGTTGGTTTTGTACAAAGACAAGGCCTTGCATGCCATATTCTCTGTCTTGGGGAAAGGAAATGCATATGAGTCGATGTCCTGTCCTAGGCACCAGGCCTGTGAACTGTGTCATCCCTCCTCACAGCCAGCATCCTTGCTGGAAGTACCCAGCTGGTCCTGGGAGCATGGTGGAACATGGAGCGGCAGGAGCCCACGGGGAGGTAGAGTCCAGCCTTGGAGGAGTAAGGGCCCAGGGAGAGCTGTGACACTTTTCAGCTTTGCCATCTGGGTGGGTTGTGTCTCTTCTCACACACAGGCAGGAGGGAGCACCATCCTGGAGCACCGTAGTGGGAAGCTTGAGCTGACTACCAAAGGGAGCCCCATTCCCACATCCTAGGGTATCTCAGTGTGCCCTCTGTGAGCATGAGAGCTGCCACACAGCTGAGGAGATGCTTCAGAGCCCCTGCTCCGCTGTTGCTCCTGGGGTGGGGGAGCCAGGCTGGCCTGTCCAGGGACACATAGGGGGACCAGACTCTGACAGAAGTCTGTTGTCCTCTACGGCCTCCTGAGGACATTAACGACCCGAAGCCTGTGTGCTAAGCTGTGTCCTACCAGGCGCCACCCCGCTGAGGAACTGCAGTGCTGCCCAAACCACCAGCCTTTGCGACATGAAGGGCAAAGGCGGCTTTGTGGCCCAAATGAAGCAGGGCTAACCTCATGTTCTGAGAAAGAGGGACAAACAGCCTGTAATAGAAATCACAAATGTGGCCTCTGGAGAGAACTCACCTCACAGCCCTTGTTGCTGCCGTCATCTGCCCTTGAGACAACCCTGCAACCCTCTGCTGGCCTGTGTGTGCCCAGGGTGGGCCTGGAGAACAAGCGGCCTGTCATCCCACAGCAGGCTAGCAGGGGTCTCCCTCATATGGGTCTCTGTGCCTTTCAGAAGATATTTTGACTGGGGGAAAGCAAGCAACGTCCTGACCCCGGTGATCAAGCCTGGCTGGCAGCCAAGGTTGACTCCGTCTTTCTTTTTCAGGAACCTGGGAAAATCCGGCCTTCGGGTGTCCTGCCTGGGGCTTGGTAAGTATGAGATTTCCTCATGAACAAGGAGCTGGGGCTTCAGGAGAGCCAGCCCCACCCTTAAGAAGAGCTACACTGAGCCTACCATTCTGGGAGATTAGGTTGTCATGGCAACCAGCAAACAGGAAGAAGGAAAGGACAGAGCTACAGCCTTAGCATGGGAGGCTGCGGGGGGGGGGGGCAGGAGAGCCCTAGGAGTACTCTGCACACAGCCCTTCACCTCATCCCAGAAGTCAGAGCACCCCCTGACCCTCACTGGCCCAGGAAGCTTTCTTCCTGGCTCCTAAGCCCGACTTCAGAGAGACAGTCCCAAGGAAAGACCATTCGATTCGGTCTTGCCCTTGTTCCTCTCTCCAGATGTGAGCTCTGTCCTAAGAACCCGCGGTCCTCTACCTCCAAAACTACTTTTTACCCCTTCTGCCTTCACACCCACGTAGCCCTCTCCTGCAGGGCCTGCCATCAGGAAGCCACCCTCCTGCTACGGTCTGCGACAACCCCACAACAGCACTGTCCCCACACGGAGGATAGCCCTCCTGTCTCAGCCTTCCAAGTGCTTAGTTTATGCCTGTAGGCCTCCACACTGGGCTCCAGATGAGCATTTCAGAGGCCACAACCCTCCTAGGCTCACTCTGATCTCTGGCCTACATTTAGGCTGCAAGCAAGTAGCAAGTACCCATACAGAGGACATGCTCAGTACAGAGCAGTGGGTGGCCTGGGGCTGTCCCCAACTCTATTCCCTACACTTCAAAGTCTGAGCACCCATGAAACAGTTCTGGTCCACTGCCAGATTATCTGACCTGAGCCGCTGTGTCTCCTTCCAGGAACGTGGGTGACCTTCGGGGGCCAGATCACCGATGAGGTAAGACACAGCTCCTTCAGCCTCGGGCCACGTGGCTAAGTCCCCTGCATAGACCAGGGACTATGCTCCTAGAAGCATCTGTGGGGTGAAGCCAGTCGCTTTCTCTCCGTTGGAAGTATCGTGCCCCTGTGGCTAGAAAGGCCAAGGGGTAGTGGCTGAGAAAGATGCTGCAGCTGGCGGCATGGCTTAGCTGAAAACCAGGATTTCTCAGCAAGTCCCTCTGTACATGACACCCAGCCGCAGCTGACCCCGAGCATTCAAGGATCCCATGTTTTCCAAGCGATAAAGCCGAGTGAGTGGCCCATGAATAGGCATCAGTCCGTACGTGTCTGCTGCAGCGACTCAGGCTTCCCCCATAGGCTGTTGGCCCGCTGTGGTCCTGACTGTGTGCTCCCCTAACTGCTGCAGACTGCTCCCTTCTGGGGCTTTTCTGCTTTGGGAACACAAGGTGACACTAAGAAAGAGCAATCCGAGTACTGCCAGTCACAGGGCCTGTCAGAAGGAAAGGGTGCACTTCCAGGCAGCAGGAGAGGTCAGAAAGGGGAGCTCTGGGCGCCTGCACCACTCAGCCATTGTGTTTGCCAATTTTCTGTAGAAACGCTTGTGTTTAAAAATTAATAAGTGAGTCCATTTGAGACCTTGTTAGCTGTGATAGCTCAGTTTTTAGGGAAAACTTGGCTTCCGTTGTGATTTAAACACAGTGTGTGGTTTTGTTCTTTATTTTTATAGCAGTAGCTGGTCGTTGAACCATTTGTCCTGGGTGCTGAGGCTGCTGGGTAAGAGCTGTCTCAGGCAGAGTCGGGAGCTTCTAAGGTGAAGTTCTGGTCCCCAGAGCTCAGAGTAGAAACTGGAGCCGTGGGACACGTGTGGTTTGTCTCAGCTAAGTCGCTTCTGACTCAGCCTGGCTTGCAAACAGATGATGGAAGTCTGAGGGAGTAAAGGAGTGAGTCTCTCTCAGTGTTAGCTACCGGGTGTGATGTCCTTGTGGACAGGTCGCTCTGTCACCAGCAGATCGGTGGCACAAAAGAGTATTGTCGAATGAATCTCAGACGGCAGCTGCAGCTGGCCTGCCCCATGCCGTGTCTCAGTCAGGGACAGGGTGACAGGGGTAAAGACGTTGGAGGTCATACCTCGATGACATCGAGCCAGAGGAGCAGAGGAATAACAGATGACAGAGTCAAGGCTTTAGAAACATGTAGCTGTCACAGATGACCTAGTGAAGAAACAGGAATGTTTGTGATTTCACAGCTTGTGATTTTTAAAAAGCAGAATGCCAAATGTTAGGGACCCCTGGCTGTATCAGGTGCAGAGGGCAGAGAATCTAGTCCCTGCCTGCTTTTTCCCCCACTTGGAAGACTTTTGTTTAAATATATGAAACATAAAATTTCCCGTGTTAGGGCTGAAGATTGCTCAGCCAGTAGAGTGTTTACCATCGAGTTGAGTCCCCAGAATTCGTAGGGAGGAGTGGGGGGCTAGTGTGTGTTTGAATTCCCAGCGCTAGGGACATAGACCCAGGAGGATCCCTAGGGCACACAGGTCAGCCAGCCGACTGGAATCTGAAGGGCAAATGAGACAAGATGGCCAGTTGAACAATACCCAAGGTTGACCTCTCACTCCGTACGAAAGTGCGTGCCTGCACACATATAAAGTGACCATTTTAATCATTTTAAGGGTAGAGCTCATTGGGTGTCTTCATGTTGCCATGCAAATGTAGCTTCTGTTTCCAAACAGAAACTTGACACCTTTCAGGGGTAACACTCCAGTCCGTGCTAACCTCTAATCCATTTCCATCTCTGTCAGGCTGCAGTCTGTTTCTGTGAGTAAAGTTTTCTCAGCACGCAGCCACACTCACTGGTTGACACAGATCTGGCCACTTCTGCTGCAAAGACAAAGCTGAGTGCCTGACAGGCCATCTGCCCCAAGATGCTTGGGTCATTAAATATCTGTCCCATTGGGGAAAAGGTCTCATGGCTCCTGTGCGGGACAGCACAGCAGCCACCCACCAGTGTCTGTGGAGTTGCCTGGCAGGCTGCAGCAGGGGAGCACCAGGGGGAGGTTGCACAGGGTGTGGTGATAACTGCACAGTAGCGTACGTAGCGTATGTCTGGGGAAAGGTGGCAACAGCACTGGGCGCTGCGGCGCACGCCTTTGGTCCCAGCGCTGGGGAGGCAGAGGCAGTCGGATCTCTGTGAGTTTGAGGCCAGCCTGGTCTTCAGAATGAGTTTCCAGGACAGCCAGAGCTACACAGAGAAACCCTGTCTCAAAAGAATAATAATAATAATAATAATAATAATAATAATAATAATAATAATAATAAATAATAGATTGGCAATGACTGCCACATTCCTAGCACTCAAGGAGGCTCAAGCAAGAAATGTTTGAGGGGCATTTGGACTGCATAGTTGAGACCCTGTCTCAAAAACTTATTTCTTATTTTATTTATGTGTTGAATATTCTGTCTGCATGTATGTGCATGTGCCGTGTGTAAAGTAGCTGAGGAGGCCAGAGAATTGTGTCAGGTCCTCCAGAACTGGGGTTACAGATGTTTGTAAGCCAACAAGTGGGTGCTGGGGACCGACCCTGGTTCTCTGCAAGAGCAGCAAGGGCTGTTAACCGGTGAGCCAGTGCCCACCCCCTCCAAATGTTTTGAAGTTAGTGTGGCAAGTTTTAGTAAGTCCATTTTCTAGACAGTGTCATGTATTCCCAGCTGTCCTTGTACTTCCTGTGTAGCCAAGGATGACCTTGAATTGATCCTCCTGCCTCCACGCCCTGCTGCTCGGATTACAGGTAGGTGCCGACACACCTGGTTCCATGTGGTGCTGGCAACTGACCCCAGGGCTTCATGAACGCCCATCCAATCTCACGTACTGAGCCACACCCAGCCCCAGGAAATATGTGCATCATATGAAGAATGGTAGAAAGGAATGGACCGCCTTAAACTGGTTTCCAGGGGGTACTGTGTGTGCAGAGCAGCTACAGCCTCCTTTGTGTCCTGCAGATGGAACAGAAGTGTGTGCCTATCTGAAAGGAAAAGTCCCCAGAAGATAAGGTGCAAGCCGAGAGCCCTCTGCCCTCAGAAGCCCTCCACGGAGGCCACGGGTCTCCCTATCCAATGGGATGCCGTGCACGCAATGTCCCCCAGGCTTGGCTCAGGCTGGCTGGTGGGACACATCTGGGAAAGGCCACGGTGAAGGCAACAAAGAATCAACACTTGCCCATGCCTTGGCCTTACAGGGCAGTGCCCGGCCTGCACAGAGGTTTCTCCATGCGTAGCTCTGGGGAGGAGGCTCAGCTGCTGCATGAGGCCCCCAGAGAGCAACAGTAACCATGCGTTTGACGTGTTCATACTTGAGCCTCAGCAGAAGAGACAGCAGACCTCCTTGTGGGTGGGTCTCCAGAGCCCCGTGGCCTCAGCTCCTGGTCCTTCTGCCTCTCAGATCCCAGCAGCTGTGGCCCGGCTCCAGGCTCTGCGCTACCTGCAGCGGTTGAAAAACAAGTTTTAGCACAGGATGGATTTCTTGGATCCCCTGTCAAATCTAGTAGCACCAAGTCCTGCTCCCCATGAACACCATTGGGCATGGATCCCGTCCCTAGCAGTCTTCTTCCAACAGCATCATCCCCAGAGTCCCTCAGCACGCACACATGCTCTCTCTTTCTCTCTCTCTCTCTCTCTCTCTCTCTCTCTCTCTCTCTCTCTCTCACACACACACACACACACACACACACACTTCTCCCCCCTTACTTGGATGATTCTTGAAGCCACTCAATACCAGAGAACCAGGGGCGATGGGGGCTGGCATCATCCTGCCGCTGCAGGCTGACTGCAGAGGGAGTTCTGGTACCCGAGCTGCACTGAACAGGTTTGGCCCTCAGACTGCAGCGCTCAGGGCACGTCTCTCTGCAATATTTTGGCGTCATCCATTGAAGGCAGGCGTGCTCCCAGCTACCTTGATCACCAACCCCACCACCTATTGCTGTTTGCTGAGGGACAAAGCTCACCCTCTTCTGGAAGCCCTGGGAGGAAGGTCTGGTCAGCAGCGAGGTTGCTTGGATGCTCTGGATGCTCTCCAAGCCTCACCCAAGGCCATGTGACTCAGCCGCACTGTGGAGGACTGTGGGCCGTCTGAAGTCAGTAGGCAGCCCTCCTGCAGTAGCTTGGAGAGGCTCAGCAAGGTGCAGATAAACACGCAGATAAATCTTTTAAAAGACAAGTGACTGGCCTGCTAAGACTGGCTGCTGGGCCCTGTGAGTGACACAGGGACAACTGTTTAGCTCAGTACAGTGGCCATGTTCCATGTTGGCCCCAAGAAATTCACAGCCAGCAGCAGGCTGTCTCCCCCATCCATCTTGCCACCTTTGTTTTTCTGAAGGGTTTGTCACTTGCCTGCACTATGGCAGGGAGGACGGAGCCAAGAGAAGAGCCTAGGCCATGGAGCCTGCCTGCAGCTGGCCAGACAATGCTGGTTTTATCATTTCAGATGGCAGAGCACCTAATGACCCTGGCCTACGACAATGGCATCAACCTCTTCGACACCGCAGAAGTCTACGCAGCTGGCAAGTATGTACCTTTCTCACTGGAGAAGGTGGCATGGAACACCTCCTAAGGGCCACATCTGCTCCCCCGGCTCTCACTCAGTCTTCTTTAAATAACCTCAGGAGATATTTTGATGGGGCCTGACTGAGATCACTCAAGCACTGGCTGCTTCCTAAATTCCTCATGTGCCCAGGCACCAGGGTTTCCAAGGCCCAGTGCTGGGCTCGAGCTGAGACTTACTGTTGTCCTAGTCTGTGGTGACATGCTAGCGAGCCTCAGGCAGCCCCATGAACCTGACATTTTTGAGTCTTAATGCTAAAGTAGAGGCTGTAGGGCAGACAGCCTCTCTGATCTGGAGAGAGCAGGCCCTGACAAACTTCGGTCGGCGTGAAGGAAGCACTTCCCATGTGACGATGAACTTTCCAACTCAGCTGCTCAAAGGCCCACTGCTCTTCAGCCACAGTTGTTGGCTTCAGTTTGGGCTGTAATCAAATCATCCACTTTCCTGCATCACATTTTTTCATAAGTCAGTTTTGGTTGGTGAAATCATTTGCTGGCTCCCTTTTTCGTCCTCCCCTCAGCCCATTTCTGCTGGGAGTCAGCCAAGTTCCCATCAGCTGGGTTGCTGCAGCCTGAACTGCTGTGTGTCGTGGCCATGGGGCCAGCACCTGCTTCCTGGGCCTCGGGACGTTACCTGCTGCCCGGAGTGGGACCCAGAGCAGTAAGCGTCAGGGAACCCAGCTGGACAATCGCCCAACCCCTACCCAGGGCTCCGGGAGCTGACAGCTGTTACCCCATCTCCCTTAGCCCCATCAGCTGTACTAGTATTGTCCTTGTGCCATGGTCTCCTCCCCTCTCCAGACAGACAGCAGCTTCCAATCAAAGTGAGACGCTTTCCAGACAGACGGATGAACTCAGCTAAGCACCCAGAGGTTGAAGGGCCTGCTACCGATGCCCAGCCCAAAGGCATCTCCCAGCTTCCTCCCTGGCCCAGCTTTTGCCTGGGCATTGCTGCCTAGGAGAGCAAACAGAGATTAACGCCACCTCCTCTGTCTCCAGATGGCCCCACCACTGTGTAGTCACCAACTCCCCTGCGTTATTGCTTTCACTCTATTTAACTGGACATGCAAAGCTGGCATGCCAGGGCAACCACACTAGATGCTGGGCATCCTTGGGGCCTTTCTGGAGCCCCTTGCTAGAAGTCAAGGCCTTGGGCAGGAGCCTTCTGCTCTGGAAGGCCTTGCTTAGGGAGGCCCCTGTCCTTAGCTCTTCAGCCTGCCGCTGTAGTCCAGCTGCCCTTAGCCAGCCTGCTCACACCGCAGAAATGCCAGTGTGACTCACTCTGAGCACTGTGTCTTAGGGGCAGGCCAGGCTTCTCTGACCAGGGGCTAGCCATAGCTCCAGCAAGCCGTCAGCCAGGGTTGCCCCTTGCTGACCAAGGGTGAGCGTGCACATATCTCGCTGACAGTAATCTGTGCACTTCTCAGCGACCTGCAGTATTTCTGTGCCCACAGTCAGCGCTTGCTTGCAGGATTGCGAGCAGGAGGCTTGGGTTAGCTGCACAAGCAGCCTCACGGCCATCTTCCTCTTCTCCTGGTCTTTTGTCTGACAAACTGGGGGACCAAGGAACGAAAGGAGGCCAGAGCTGATTGAATGTTCAGTGCATCCTGACCGTAAATGAGGGGCATTCAGAATATATGCTAAGCAGCTTGCAAATTAGAGCCCATTATTTCTGAGTGGATGACTCAGGCGCTTTTATAATTGGAATGTAGCGCTGGGTTTGGATCATTTTCCGTCTGTTGTTTTTGCTTAGAAACATTTTGCTACAAGCAGAAAGTTCTTAAAAGTTAATCTGCACTGCTGTGCCAAGGGAGGCTGGAACAGCCAGCTTGTGACCCCGGCTGGCTCTAATTTGGAGCAGGACCCTGAGCCATGCCAAGAAGAACAAGCCATGGGCTGGGTAGCTCTCTGTTGCCTCAGAGACAGAAACAAGCTGCACGCAAACACTCGCATGCACAAACACACGTGTGCACGCATGCACAAAACAGTCTGGCCCCAGACAGTGCCTTGCCTGTGCACACAGAGAATGCCCCTGGAGCGCTGCCGACCTCCTAAATTCACCTGTGCATTTTACCTGTGTGCCATGGCCAGGCATTTCCCCCAGCATATCTGCAGCTGGCCGAGGAAGTGAAGTTCCGGGACCTTCCCTTCCCCAGCAAATGCAGAGGTGCTGCAGGACATGACCTAGAGGCACAGGCCTTTTCATCAGGGCAATGGCACACCACTGCCACCAGTCTTGGACATGAGCTGCTGAGCCAACACCGCATAGGCAGCCTGGCATTCCAACCCCAGTGGCCTTTTCACAGAGGGGACCTGATGGCTCATTGTCACGGTGAAGCTGGGTTTGATTTTCTTTCCGTTATGCATTGATGAAATCCCTATGTCTGCCCCTCCCTCCCTCTCTCTCTGTCTTTCTCTCTTGCTTTGCAGGGCTGAAGTGGTATTAGGAAACATCATTAAGAAGAAGGGATGGAGGTAATTATCCAGTTCTCTGTGGTCTGTCTCCAGGGCACACAGGGGAGGCTGGGGGTGGGGGTGGGGCGCAGCACAGGAGAGGCAGATGCGTGCTGGGGTTCCTGGCTGGGGCAGGCAGGCCATCTGTCTGGGACTAGCCTGGACTTGGATGGCCCTGCAGTGGGATCCAGGAGAGTCTGGGGGTTGTTCTTTCCTGACTGCCACAGGTGTGATCCGTCAGCCCCTTGTGCAATTGTGTGTGTATATGTTTTATTCATTACATTTATTTTTTTACGTGTGGTGGGTACATGCCACGTAGTACATGCTAAGGTCAAATGACAGCCTGTGGGAGTTGGGTCTCTTCCTCTACCAAGTGAATTCAGGGCATTGAGCTCGGGCATCCATAGCACATACCTTAACTCACTGAGCCAGCTCATCAGCCCCCTTCCTTCTTTTCTCTTTTTTTTAAATAAAAAAATTAATTCAGTATACTGCAAGGGCAGGTAGCTAGGCAGTAACAAGAATACAGCTGAGGGCTAGGGTTGGTAGCGTGCCTGCCAGCTCCGGGTTCAGCTCCCGGCACTGCCTACACAAAGCAGAGTGGTGCGTGCCTGTAATCCCAGCACTCAGGAAGAAAGAAGCAGAAGGATCGCGTATTCATGGTCATTCTCAGCCACTCGAAATCCTGCCATGCCCACAGAAAGTTCTGCCCATGGCCTCCCTGTGTGGCCAAAGCCTCGGTCACCCAGATTTCCCTGCTGAAGGGGAGGACTTCTCAGAACAGAAGTAGCTCGCACCCTCCAGAGGGAGTGAGCCTTCACACACACACACACACACACACACACACACACACACACACACACCTTTGTCCTGCTCCACGCACAGATTCATGGGAAGGGGTTCCTGGCGGCCTGGGCATAACAGGAGCACTGCACAGAGGTCAAGGTGTGGAAGCCTTGGCCTCTCAGCTGGACCCTCCTCTCTGTCCAACCCTCAGGCACTCACTGTCCTTATCTGTAAAGGGACCAGTGTGTGAGGGGAGGGCACTCTGTCTAGGTCTGAAAATCACCAGGCTAGACCTGGGGGGTGCCAGGCTTCAGCCCAACACCCAGCTACATCCGGTTTCTTGGTGCTGAGATGGTGATGGAGCTCAAAGGCAGCAGACTAGGAACCCGTCTAGACATCGTTCTGTTGCCATGAGCAGGAGACCATAACCTTGACAACTTCTAAGAGAAAGTGCTTGATTGGAGGAGTGCTCACAGTTTCACAGGCTTGGTCCGTTAGCGTCACCGTAGCGCACAGGCAGCCATGGCTGGAGAAGCATGTGAGAGATCGTTTCTGATCAGTAGGTGGCAGGCCCAAAGAAAGAGACTTGAAATCTCCAAGTCCACCCCTGTGATACATCTCCAACAAAGCCACACCTTCCAATCCTTCCTAAATAGTTCAGCTAACTGGGCCCGAAGCACCTATATGTATGAGCCTACAGGGACCATTCTTGTTCAAACCACCACAGAAATCAAAGCACACTCCGGCCCCCGCCTTTATCAAACTAGGCTGAGCCCTGAATTCTGGTCTGTACTTTGGGCCTCTCCAAGCCCAAGCCCCAGCTAAGTAGACATAAAGCTAGCCCTGCCCTCCTCCCTGACCTTCCTGTCGGTCACTTAGAATCTCAGTGACCAGGTCTCATAGCGCAGGGCTCCTGACACCACACACACACAGCCGGCCTGTTTCCCCTCGGCTCTGGTCAAGCCCAAGTCAGTTCTTCCAGGTCAGTAATCCAAGGTAAAGCCCCTGGCGGTGTGCATGGAGAGGCTCTGGCTGCGTCATCAGTCCTTTGGCATACATTGGCACTGTCCATGCCAATGCTGGTAGCTGGCAGAACAGAGCAGTCCAACTGGAGGCTCTCCCACCTCAGGGGACCCTGGTGAGGCTGAGGAGCATACACAGACAGGGAAGCCACTGTCATAGATCCCTGGAAACCATTGCTCTCGAGCTGCGTCTGCAGTCAGATGCCGACACCCAGCCTTGTGGGTTGGTTGCATCTATTAGTGGGAGATCCAGACCCTGAGCTCAGCAAGAACGTCACAATTCAGAAACACCTGTTTCACACCAAGCTCCCAGGGGAGACAGCGACCTCTCAGCCAGGTCCAGTAACACCCTTCCTCTCTTCTACTCTGCAGGCGGTCCAGCCTCGTCATCACCACCAAGATCTTCTGGGGCGGAAAGTAAGTGCCACTGTTTCCACAGTTTGCTCCCAGTGGTGTGTGAGCACTGCAGCCCCAATCCCTACAGAGACACCACTTGGGAATCCAGGGCAAGGGTCACGCTGTGGTCCTTGAGGCGTACATTGAACTCTGCAGAGCTACACAGAGGCAGGGACTCATTCCAGTCTAGGGGCCTCACACCCATCTCTGCTGTGTCCCCAAGCTTCAATCTTAGCTTCGGCTGGACTGGTCCTTTACCCAAGCCTTCTTTACTTTTCATTATTTTTACTTGCATGGTAACATCATAAAAATTCCAGAAAACAGAAAATGTTGAGCTGTCTACAGCATCTTAAAGCCACCTGTCACTCTGCCTGTCTCCAGGGCTCTGACTCTATATTCTCAGTAGGTATCTAGGCAGAGGTCATCTTGTGGGGGTTGTAAATGTGATTTCTAGGCTGAGGAGGCATCTCAGTTAGAGGAGGGTTTGCCAGGCATGCATGAAAGGCCTGGCATTATCCTCAGCCCAGTAAGCTAAGTGTGGTGTTCATGCCTGTGATTCCAGCCCGTCAGAGGCCGAGGAAGCAGAAGATGAGGGCCATCCGTGGCTACGTAACACATTTGAGGCTGGAATACATGAAACCCTCTCTCCAGAGAGAGAGAGCACTAAGTAGAGAGAACCTATCTCAAAAGCATAAGTAAATAACCACAAGATGGGCAGGAAGGTGACATTGGCATCTAGAGCCCTTGTGGCCAGCTGACACCCCACTGCGCCCCCACAGTGTTCCCTCCGCCCCCCTGGGGTGGCATCCAGGAATCCACCTGAGCCGTGGATACTCAAGCCTGTAGTTGTTACCCACAGATGTCGAATTTTCTGACCTACTTCTTTTTCCTAGCATTGTATCATAAGTATTATCCCCAAACCAATTGCAACACCTCCTACCCTGTTGACCTGTTTTTCAGAGCGGAGACAGAGAGGGGCCTTTCCCGGAAGCACATAATTGAAGGTGAGGAGAAGCTCTAGCTGTGTCGCCAGCACGTGAGGAAAAGCTAAGGAGCATGGCAGCCCCACACTTCCCTTCAGCGAGTCAGCCCAGGCCTCAACCCCAGAGCACATGGAGCCCTTCTTTGACCATTTCCTTCTACTCCAAAAAGGCATGAGGCAGGGGATCCTTTCAAAAATGGCCACCCTGAGCCTGGACAGAGCCAACCAGACTTTGGTCCAGGCTGAGCGAGTGCTGTCTGAATGGCCTTGGGGGAGAGCCATCACCTCCCTGAGCTTGTGTCAAAGGGTCTAGGAAGTGGAGCTGAGGGAGCACAACCCCCACTCTGGGCTATTGGGAACAGTGGACATGCAGCCCAGAGTGGGGGTGCCGGGTGTGGGCTCTGCCTCTCTGAGTCACATTTATTCTAAGTAATATTCTTCCTAATAAACATCAGAACTGAGGTGGGGCGGGGGCCTTGGTACCTGGCCCTCCCACCTCAGACCCAGTTCACCTCAGTTGGTGGCTCTGGGCGGTTGGGAGGTTGTTGTCTTGTGTCTGACACAAGCAGCCGTTTGTACAGTCCCTCATTGTGTGGTGCCATGGCTATCTCTGCTTGTCACAGTACCGACCACCAGGTCCTGAGAGTGTATCCATTTGGTCTCAGGGTAGTTGGCCTGTGGTTCTCCTGACATCTGAAATGGCCAGGGCAGCCACTCCCTTTAGGATGTGCCTCATGTCTTGGCATCCCCTTGAGACCCTCACCTGCCTTAAAGCTCCATGTGACAGGACCCAGCCCTCGTCCTTCTCTTGCCCCCTGAGCCGGGCACAGGGAGGGTCTGGAAGCACAGACAGCTGAGCCCTCCTGTTCTTCTCCCAGGACTGAAGGCCTCCCTCGAGCGGCTGCAGCTGGAGTACGTGGATGTGGTTTTTGCCAACCGCCCAGACCCTAACACACCCATGGAAGGTAGGTCGACCAGGTGCCCGCTAGGCAGTCCATGTGGGACAGAGCCAGATGACCAGTGGTCTGCTCTGAAGTGCTGGTGACTGTGAAGCCCACCCACACTGGGCACTCAGGGCAGAGGTGGCCAGGCCTCTGGGGGGGGGGGGGGGGGGGCGGGCCCTGGCCCTGCCAGGCTGAGCCTACGCCCTGGTCTCGTTCCGTTACCCGGCTGCATTGAAGACATGGCAGCATTCGCTTTTCTCAGCAGTTGGTACTTTGCACAGTGGTGCCCATCAGGGCTGTTACACTCTTTTCATTCTGGTTCCCCTGGGAGGGCTCAGAGGTCTTTTGCTCTGGGTGTGGGGGGCAGGTTATTATCTGAAGGAGAGGAAGCATTCAGTGCTTTGGAGAGCTGTTTGGGTTTCTTTTAGCATTTATTTATTCCCTTGACTCCCGGTCCCTCCATCTCTCCCACTTCCTGCCTCAGCATCTTCTCATTTCTGCTTTGCTGCCTCAGGGACTTGGGAGGTTAAGTAGAATTGTTATTTGTCTCCATTTGCTTTTACATATATATATATATATATATATATATATATATATATATATATATATAGCACACTCGTGTGCATGTATATATATTCTTTCTTTTTAGCAGAACTCTGTTCTGTGCGATGATTTGTGCTCTTCTGTCCTGCCCTTTATCATACCACGCCTCCGTGTTCCCACAGCGATAAACTCTGGTCTCTTTAAATCTTTCTTTTATCACCAGGGGACCCATTTAGTTCCTTCAAGTCAAGGACATTCATCATTGAAGGTACACAGTACCCTCAGCCGACTATTGACTCTGTGTCCGAGCTGCATTTTATGAGACAGTATTTTTATTTACACGACTCTCTGTCCCCCATGACAAACTTCTCCATAAAATGCATAAGGGGTGGGGACGTGCCCTGTGAGGACATCTTGCAAGTGAAGAGAAATCGAAGTGGTGCTGGAGCCCTCGCTGCCCATCGTGCTGTCATTCCACCCCTTCCCAGCGTGCATGTCCCCCGAGCCACGCTTGTGATGCCGTGATCTGCAATGGCCGGCTGGCTTTGTGCCGGGGTCTCCTCTTGATCTGAGGATGCTCCAGTACCTGCCTGGGAACTTGACCTTGGATGATGGGATGGGAAGGGTTAGGAAAGACTAGGCTTCCAGAAGGGTCCTGGGACCCCAGATTGTGCAGCCTCTAAGGAGACTTACCTGTTTCATAGCTCACGCTTGTTTAAGCCCTGGCCTCTGACAGAGGCAGCGAACACCGGCCAACAAGCCACCCATCTGTCACACTGGTTTCTTCTAAGCTCTCTGGCTCTGTGAACACCCATGTCTGCTCACTTAGCAACCAGGACACCCCATCAAAATGAGTGGTTCTCTTCCTTGAAGAACATGTACATGAGCTAGCTTGATGCTAAGGCCCAGGGCACCCTCGTGTCATGCTTGTTATCTGACCCCAGACACACACACACCACACACAATGAGCAAAACACCCTAGAACCCCACCTCAGGGATAAACCGTGGTGTCCCTGGGAGCTGGGCAGCGTTCCACACTGGAAGGGCACCCGCCTGCCACCTGGTGCTGCCACCTGACCCCTCCCATGTATTATTTGTGATGCCCCAGAGATGCACTGGTCTTGGCTGCCTCGGGAAGGATTTGGCATCCTTGCTTCTGCCCAGCAGTATTAATTATTGAGGTGAGGGACAGGCGTCCCTAAGCACCTCTCTTTCAGGATCCACTGACGTGTTGGTGTGGGTGAAGTTCTCCTGAGTGTGTGCCCCACACTTAGCCTGTCTCTGCCCAGATCCCAGGATACCTAGGTTCCCCCACCCCTCAGAACAGCCAGTCACACCAGGCTCCTGTCCTGTTGGCCTTATTCCCAGGTGCTAGACTATCTCCGTCTCTCTCACCTCGAGGGAGGGTCATTGTGCAGTTTCCCTGGCTGTGATCTCATGACCAGACAGCGTTCTGTGGGAGGCTGGGAAGAGGGACTGAAGTGGGCTGTCCCCTCGGCTTCCCTGCCCCTGGCATGTGGACCTAAGCCTTGGCTGAAGAGAGTAGGCAACCCATGCTGCATGGTCCTGGGTGCCCCCAACAGTGTTTCTAAAAATCTCAACAAGGCCAGCCCGTGCAGGAGCCTGGGCTCCACTGAGTATGCCCCAGGACTCTCCACCTCACCTGAAACCATTCCAGTCAGGCAACTAACTTCTTCCCAGTGTAAAATGTGTTGTCATTTAAAGCCAGTGACTCAGGGAAGGTCCCAGAAGGCCCAAACTCCCTTCTCATATGTCCCTCACCTAGGCAGGTCAAAGAAGACTCCAAATGGCCACAGGAGGGAGTTGCCCTGCAGGGGCAGAAGTAAGGTGTGACTTCCCTGGCATTCTGGGTGAACCAACCGGGACCACCATACCAGAATCCAGTGGCCTTAGCTCCAGACTTGAGGATGCCCTGGATTCCACCATAAATGGTCTTTAACCACAGACATCCTTAGGGACCTAAAATGAGTAAGAAGAAAGAGCCCGGGAACAGGGCGGCAGGAGCCAGCACGGTATCCCATGCAAGGAGGTACTGGGATCCAGCGGCATTTCATGGTGACAAGAACAGCTCTGGCATTCTCTTCTTCCTTCCCTTCCCTCACAGTCCCCGCCAGGGATGTCTGCTGCCGGATGGGTTGGGCATCCAGCAGTGAGGCAGATGCCACTGCTATGTTTTTAGAAACACTTGCTCCTCCACGTTCCTACCCTGCCTTTGGCTGTTGACCTTGCAAGCACTGTATCAGACCTGTGAGAAGTCTATGGAGCCATCACCCCACCATCACCACCACCAAGGCCACTTTCTGTTTTAAAAACCAAGGCATTCCCAAGAGGCAAAACATCCAAGAGAGGAGACCTCTAAGTGGCAGGGTTTTTAAATAGCTCGTTACCCATACATAATAATGGGTTTTGTTACAACATTTTCCTACATGTCTATAATGTATTTTGATTACATTCACCCCCATCACCTTCATGTCTCCTCCCAACCTGATGGTCCTTTTCTTCTTCCCATCTAGTCCCCTTTATAGTTTCAACTGGCAGATTTTTATGCCCCCAAAACTCTTGAATATAAGGATGACTGTGTTTTTGCTGTGTTTTGCTGTGGGAAGACTCCTACTCTTGCCCTAGGAGATGGGGAGGGTGTCCCAGCCATTTACTCCTTGGTATGTTGTAACCGTCAGCCTTTGTGGAACCTTACAGCTATTTGTTCCCTCCCAGAAGGGACGATTAGATACCACCCACCCCACCCCCATTGTCCTGAGAATAGCCTGCGTTGAGGGAGACTTGGTGTGGTCTGCCCAAACCTTTCAACTTCTGCTTCTGGCTGCCCAGGCACAGAAACAAGAAACCACTGACCCAGCCTCAAGGGCCTCCCTTTGTCCCTACTGGCTCCGCTCAAGTCCTCAGGACTCCAATGAGAATGGCCTCCTGTGACCTGCAGAGCTGTGTCTGCAAGCTTTGCTAAATTCACTGCCTTGGCCAGTCTGATTGTAGCCTTCATCCAGCTGGTCCCCCTAAGTGACCAGGGCTCCTATTTCCTCATTCTAGAGTGTAAGACCCGGTGTTGACGTTCACCTTCCCTCATTCCCATAGCCAGCCATGGCGACATCAGCCTACCCCTGGGCTTTTTCCAAGGATCCCAGCAGGCCTTAACTCATCTGAGAATTTGTCTTCAGGATTTCAATTCCGTTTTCTCTCCTCCTGGAGTCTCCCCTCCCTGACACCCACACACGACTCCGGGAGCCAGGAAGTACACTGCTTGCAAGATGCCTTTGCAGCCTGCCCCTCCTCCTGGCGCCCCGCCTGCACTTCCAGACCACCCCAGGCCGGGCCCAGCTGCTGCAGCCATGGTATCCCTTCTCTCTCACAGAGACCGTGCGGGCCATGACCCACGTCATCAACCAGGGCATGGCCATGTACTGGGGCACGTCGCGCTGGAGCTCCATGGAGATCATGGTAGGGGACAGCCACGTGTCCACAGGCGTGGGAGGAGATTCCGGGACGCAGGCACCTGTGCTAGGAGGAGGGACGGCACAGTGGGAGTGGTGGTCCCAGGCACGGGTCTCAGCTTGACTCCCAGCCACACATGGGCCTGGATGGATAGCTTGCCTTCTGAGGCTCCAGAACTGTAGAACAAGCCTGCTGGCATGGCACATCCTCATGACCTGTTCTGAGACTTCTTGAGAAAACTTTAAGCATGATCCTAGACCCTAAGCAAGCCCTTGGTACCTGTGCTACTTGCCATTTGACCTGTGTCCCTAGGACGTTCTGTTGGATTTAAGATTTCACCTCGACAGGAGGTTATGTGGTACCACACAGAGGGTTTTAAAGCTGAAGCTGCCCTGTGTCTCAAATGGCGAAGTCAAGGACAGAGGAGTTAAGTCCCGTGCTGAAGGTCGTGCTGCCTGGTTTAAGACTGGTGACCAGTCAGTGCTGGTCAGGGCCTGGGCTGCCTTTGGACATGGCCCATCTGCTTGGACCCGGAATGCTGTTTCCCATTCATCCACGTTTTCAGGAAAGCACCCGATAATCGTCATAAGCTTCTATGGGAGCCATCAGAGGCTAGAGCAGCCTGTGTCCTGAGGTATTTCTGGGGTTCTTAGGAAGAGTCTTCAGGATGTCCCTGTCCTCAGAGACACTGACGGAAGTGGCCAGGTGGAGAAGCTGCCTTAGCAGCCTTACCCCTTTGCACACCCGTGTTCCAGCACTCCGGGCAGGCAGCACTGCTGTGGCTTCATACAGGAAGTGCAGTGGAGCTTTTGTTTCAAATCCTTGGGAGACTTGAGAAGACCCTGGCATAACTCAGCTTTCAAATGCAGTTGCGAGCCTGTGTCAGACAGCTTGCTGACTACCCACAGCCAGCACAGGACTCAGAAAAATGTCAGTGTCATCACCCCACTTTAAAAATGGGGAAACTGAGTCTCAGACCAAAGTGGGACAGGGCCTGACAGGTGTGTGTCCACCATAGAACTGTCTGTAGGCAACAGCCTGAGCTTACCCTATCCATGGGAGCTGAGGCAGAACTTCAAGACAAGGCCCCAAGCTCCTGATCCCAGGGTTAGCGGATGCAGCTGCTGCCTCCAGAAGGCATTTGCCGCCACCATCTTCATCGTAGGTCCAGGGCCCTAGGCAATAGCGATGCTGCCCAGCTGGCAAGCTCTTGAGTGTCAGTCATAAGCTGGGCACTACTGGAAGGGTTACAAACACGCTTGGCCCACTGGAACCTTATGACAAATGGGGAAACTGAGGTACCAGTGTTCTCATTTGTCCTAGTCCCAGGCCTTACTACATTGTGATTCCTGAAGGACCATTATGTCTCAGGATTCCAAAGCCCACCCTGTTTGCCTGGCTCACGGGGAGGGACCTGCCTAGCACTCTCAGGAAAGCTGGTGGGGGCGGGGGAGCAGCACGGTCTGGGATGGCTCTGTGTGCTCTCCCTGCAGCCCAGCCTGCTGACCGTTCTGTCCTACACAGGAGGCCTACTCGGTGGCCCGGCAGTTCAACCTGATCCCGCCCATTTGCGAGCAAGCCGAGTACCACATGTTCCAGCGAGAGAAGGTGGAGGTCCAGCTTCCAGAGCTGTTCCACAAAATAGGTGGGTCCCAGCCCACCCTGTGGTGTGCCCTTCTCGCCACCCCCGTCCCCAGCTTAACCTCACCCGCTCGCACATTCATTCTCAGGAGTAGGTGCCATGACCTGGTCGCCTCTGGCTTGCGGCATCGTCTCAGGAAAGTACGACAGCGGCATCCCGCCCTACTCCAGAGCCTCCCTGAAGGTGAGCATGGCTGCTGGGGGGGGAGGGGTAAGAACGTGGACACGGGCCTTTCTCCCACACGTGAGGCCACCCCCAGAGAAGCAGGCCCCTAAATACCACCACTATCTCAGCCCCTCCCGTGGCTCAGCATTCATGGTACAGGCTGGCCCACTTACTGCGGAACAGTACACTCCCTCCCCCATGGCTCCCCACACTACAGTCACAGAGACCCCGGACAAGGCTTAAGAGTTGGTCCAATCCCATTCCCTCACTGCACACTCAAGAAGCATGAGAATGTTCGTATTTGGGACAAGAGCCCCGAACCCCAACCCTGGGTCTTACTCTCTCCCCAGCCTGAGCCCTAGGAGGCTCACAGGGCCAAAGGTGGACAGTCTGTGCCTGTGGCCCAGGGTCAGGTCGCTGCACCACAAACCTTCCTCTTCACGGTACAAAAGGGTCTGTCTAAGTCTGGCCCAGTGTGGGTGTGAGGCCCGCTGCCAAAAGAGCTGATGTTCGGGAAAACGTCTCCAGAGAAAACACAAGTAATGAGCTGCCTGCACCCGGAGGTCCAGGGACTGTTCCTGATCTGGAGGTCCAGGGACCATTCCTGACCTGGAGCTGTCCCCTTCCCAGGGCTACCAGTGGCTGAAGGACAAGATCCTGAGTGAAGAGGGCCGACGGCAGCAGGCCAAGCTGAAGGAACTGCAGGCCATCGCCGAGCGCCTCGGCTGCACGCTGCCCCAGCTGGCCATAGGTAACGGGCTCTGGGCACAGTGCTGGGACACCTATTCCTGAGGTCCCTGGGGGCCTGGGCTGTCAATTTCCCCAGCTGACTCCAGGCGGTGTGGACATGCTGAGGAAATGTAGCGACAGTGAGGAAAGTGGCCCTGGGAAGAAAGATGGGGGGCCCCTGCACAGCTCCCTCTTTATGGCCAAGGTAAGGACTGTCAGGGACAGGGCTGCAATCTGTTTCTCTTTAAGAGCCTAAACCACCAGCCTAGACCCTCAGCAAGCAAGCCAGGGGTCACGGGGAGAGAAGAGGTCTTTGAGCACCTCTCCAGCAGAGTCCACATGGCCAGCTCCTCAGAACCTCTTCTAGATGCCTCTTGGGCAAACTCACCCCTATCACTGAGCGCTCTAAGGACTCTCATGCCCCAGCTGACAGCTTTAGTCCCTGCACCTGGGCATCTTCAGGCAGGTCCTGCAGAGGGCACCGCCCTCAGCTCTGCTCTTAATCCCCACAGCCTGGTGCCTGAGGAACGAGGGTGTCAGCTCTGTGCTTCTGGGTGCTTCCAACGCAGAGCAACTTATGGAAAACATTGGAGCAATACAGGTGAGATGGGGCCCCGCCGAGTGCGGGGGCAAAGGCCTTAGGGAGCCTTGTAAAGAAAAGGGGCTTTGAAACAAACTGAGAGAGCCACAAAGGAACAGAGGGAGCTATGCAGCCACTCAGAGAAAAAAAGAAAAAAAAGACCCTTAGAGCGGAGTGGCAGGCCCTGGAGTTGCTTGAGGCCAAGTTCAGACCAAAAGACTTAACAATGGGAACCAAGGCCAGATCCCCAGTGGGAGGAAAGAGGAGGCCAGTGGAACTGACTTACCAATAGCGTAGAATAAGTGCCCCAAAATGCTAGGAAGGGCCGCCCGCCTCTTCTTCAGACCAGGCTATCCTCTTCTCCTTGCATGCAGGTCCTTCCAAAACTGTCGTCTTCCATCGTCCACGAGATCGATAGCATTCTGGGCAATAAACCCTACAGCAAAAAGGACTATAGATCCTAGGCTGCCCCCATCACCTGCTCGGACCGGTTCCGGTTCCCTCCTCGCCTCTGTTCGCTCGCTTCTGCTGTTTCAAAGCCAAGTGCAGAGTGTGGCTCATGTCCAAGGGGAAAACACTATGCCGCCACCGGAAACTCATCTCCAGAGTCACCTGCCGCTTCCTTGCCGGATGCTATCTGATGGGTGCCAGGAGATGGCATCAATTAGGGGGACATCCAAAGGCTCCCACCCAAGCCTGCCGCCTCTGCTTACCCTTCAAGAAGAAACACACCCCCGGCCATGGCCCTTCATGGAGATTCTAGACGCCATGGTCCAGTGGAGGCGTAGTCCTCTGAGCAGGCAGGGCTGGCCTCTCTGCCCAAGAACCCTTGCCTCAGAAGAGGGGCGTGCCACCTCCCAGCATCCCTTCTGCCAGAGTCTTTGGTGGTTAGAGCAGGGCCCCACCTCTTCCCATGGACACCAGGCACTTTGTTCAGGGCTGGTGTGGGATCCCACTCTTCCAAGACCTTGACCTGCCCCACGTGCTTACTGGGCCTTGGCTGTGATTAGCCTAGCTAGCTGGCCCTTGCCCCCCCTCCCCCTTACCCTTGCTGGCAGGGGCAGGGATCCCAGCCGCCTTCCCCAGCGCCTTCCAGTCTTCCACCTCCACTCCCCTCCCACCCTGCTGCCCCTTCCCACATGCAGCTGCTGAGCCCCACAGCAGGGAAGCTCCAAGTGTGGCAGCTGGCCACAGAGCAGGCAGGCGGCAGCCGGCTCAGCCCGTGCTCACAAGACCACGTTCCCCTTACAGCCCTTCTTCCTCTGATACCTCTGATGTACTGGGGCAGTGGGCTTATGACTCGGGCTCTGCACTTAGGGCTTCTCAGTAAGGAAGCTCCCTGGGCTTTCCGTTGTCACAAGCTAAAGGACGGGAGGAAAAACAGCTCCAGGAACATTGTACGGACAGATCCCCAGGGACCTCTCCCTGGAAAAATGGCTAGGACTACCCACTGTCTTCTGCATACCCTCATGCTGTCCCAGAACAGGCTGGGAAGATGGAGAAAGGGCAGGATAGGCAGCCCCTTATCGGTGGGAGCCAGGTGGATGGTGGGGCCAGAAAGCCTGCAGGTTTGGACAGTGCATGGTGCCTGGAGGCCCAGTCTCATAGTCCTGTGATGCTTTGGAGACAGGTCCTGCTCATACATGCCAGCGGGCTCCCTAGGAGCCCCAAGCCTCCTGCCCTGGACAGGCAGTGGCTGGTTCCCAAGCACAAGTCCTGCCGGCACAGCACCTGGCTTCTGTGGCGTCTGCTCCAAGGCTCCTCCCTGCCGCTGTCGTCCAGCCAAGGCTGGACAGACATCGAGACAGAAATAGGGAGTATGGGGAGGAGACAGGAAGAAAGGCAGGCGGGGTGGGCAGCTTCTCCTCTCACACACACAACCCCCCTCTGCAGACCCTGAGCTCCCAAACCTTCACCACTGCTCATAGCCCCGAACCCTGAGAGCTCAGAAGCAGCCCTGTTGATGTGGGATGGCGGCCACTAGGTTCTGGCCCCTCCATGCCTGGCTAGAGGGGCCTGCTTCCGGGACAGGGCCCTTGCAATGCTCCAGTGGGAAGTAGCCAGACCTGACCACACAACTGGCCCTGGCGCTGCTTGCCATGAGGGCCAAGCATGCAGGGTTGCCCACACTAGGAGCTGCTGCTGCTGCAGCCTGGTGCCAGAGCTAAGCTCCTCCTGGGTATGTGCAAGAGACAGAAAAATAGGCTGCAGTGTGAACTGGGCTGAGGCCCACATGAGCCCTACAGGCAGACAGCCTCCTGGATGGCATGTTAACTGAGTGTTTCTGAGCAGTTTTCTTCCATTTCCACTTTTGAGGCATCAGAGCTTTGCTTCTTAAGGCAGGATCACCCGCCTCTGTGGAGGGGCTTGGGAGGCCACCGGAGTAGATCAAGTGTAGACAGCCTATAAATGGGAGCTTGGCCCTGACCCTCCAAAGGTCTAAGGCCACTCCTACCTCCACGGCCACAGACCTCACCTTTCTCTAGCCCCAGCTGCCTGCTGGTCAGCCCCAAGCCAGCCTCCAGCACACCTCCTCACCTTGAAGCAGTCTGCCAGGCCTGGTGCGGGAGGGCGGCTGTGGGGAGCAGCCAGAGTGGGGGTGGGGCTCTGGGCATGGAGCCCTGCTGTTGCTCCTCACAGCCCCAAGGTCAAGGTCTTGAGGCACAGCGGGGCTCCTCGTGCCCTGCTCTTGTCAGCCATGTACATAATGTGCTTTCTCTCCCCACTTTTTTAACGAGCGTGGCTCCTTGCTAACTGCACCCCACCAGGCCAACCGCCAACGGCTCCAGCTTCCTGACAGACTCAGACCAAGGGGCAGCCCATATTTATGGAATGACAAATAAAACCCAAGCCCTTCGGTCTGCATGCCTCTGTCCTCTCATTTCCTCAGAGACAGCACCAGAAGGAGGCCAAAGCTGCCAACTGCAGTCCCCCACCTCACCCACTACCAAACCCAACTACAGCCAAGGACAAGATGGAAGGACCCAAGTACAGGCCAGAGAAATGCTTGAAAAGCATTCCGGGCCTGCAGTAGACTGGAAACAAGCATCAAAAGATCCACTCCCACCTCTCCCAAGGACATCCCTGAGTCCTATGGAAGATGCAGTGCCTCTCCCTGCTGCCCGCCACCCACCACGCACACGCCTCTGCTGACACCCCCAAAGGCAGAGGACTGATGGCTGGGAAGCCCCTTCCCTTTAGGGACGAGTGCCTGCAGTTTGGGGGGGGGGGTTGTTTTGTTTGGGGTTTTTTTGTTTTTAAGATTTATTATTACACAGTGTTCTGCCTGCATGTGTGCCTGCACGCCAGAAGAGGGCAGCAGATCTCACTATAGATGGTTGTGAGTCACCATGTGGGTGCTGGGAATTGAACTCAGGACCTTTGGAAGAACAGCCAGTGCTCTTAACCTCTGAGTCATCTCTCTAGACCCCCTGGCTGCTGCTCTATGTTGATGGGTTTGGGGAAGCACACAGGTCACTCATTGCCCCTGGGAGTACCAGTGTGCCTCCAGCACACAGCTATTTAGGGTTTCTCTTCCTTGAGAGCCCTGAGCCGTGGCTACAAATCATAATGTGGAAGGTTTTGAAAAATACCCTCAGCTCCCCAGCCACTCACTGCATCCCTGTTTGAAGTCAGCGAGCTAAGAACTACAGTGATTCCATCCCTTCCCAAAGGGTTTATTAAAACACAGAAACCAAAACATACACACAGAGTACGAGTGAAGATAACACTGGTTAGTCTGTCCAGCCTTCCCCAGGACACCCTTCAGAGCAGCTCAGGTGTGTGCCCTTGGGACCCCTGCTGAGACGCCCCCAGCTGCCCCCAAGCATCTCCTCTTGCTTCCCCAGGGTGAGCTGGATTGGGCAAGGGTGGAACAAATGCCAGCCTGGCCTGGGCAGGAAGAGAACTCCCTGCAGTCTAGCTTGGCCCTGGCAAGCAGCAGGGGCCTCCCTCCTCTCCAGGCAGGAGAGCTGCCTCTGAGCTGGGCTCTGGTCCCTGTGTGGCTATGTGGAGCGTTCAGGACATACACACACCCAACAGGCCCTTTCAGGGTTATCATACCTAAAAAAATACTTTGTTTAAAAAAAAAATCTGAAAATAAAGAGGGAAAATACCCATGAACACAAGGACACCGACGACTTTGGGCTGTAAACTTCCGGGTATATAGATCGGGCAGGTGGCTTCCTCCACGCTGTGCTCTGTGCAGGAGCGCACGGGGCGGCCATCCACCCTTTGTGGGAATGTCAGGACAATGAAGGTGGAGGGTCAGGCTAGGCCCCCAGTCCCCGTCCTTGGCACATACTAGAAGTTCCAAGCATCAATACCTGTCCATTCCCAGCGTGGCCCCTGCAGGACCTGAAAAGTCCTGGGACACAAGACCTAACTGGTTGCAGGTGTTACTGAGCCTGTCAACCCACATGGGTGAGGGGGACCCAGAAGGTGAGGGAGAGAGCCCTGGCTCACAGGTGGCCCTGGGGTATCGGAAGCAGAGGAAGTGAGTCAGAGTGTCTGGAAATGTGTCGCTGCAGCTCTGACAGCTTGAGCATGAGGACCCAATTCTATCAGCAGCAAAATGAGAGCCACCTCAAAATGTTGCCTCTGTCCATCATTGGCTAGCAGGAGACAGCTGAGGGACCAAGGTGAGGGCACCCTGAAGGGGTTTTGTCTTCTCTCCAGCTGCCTGGGCCAGTTTACCCTCCAAAGCCTCCCAGTGCTGGTCACAGGGAACATAGACCCTCCCAGGCCAGCAGGGGGCTCAGGTCAAGCTAGCTGCAGAGAGAAGGCCAACAGGGTTTGCTCTAGGAAGCAGCAGAGATGGAGGGACAAAGCCAGACTCCTGGGAGAAGTCATTGGAGAAGTGATGAGCCCCTGAAGTAGAGTCAAGGACACAGACTCTGTTCTGTCCCACATGTGCCTCTAGGCCCATGTCTCAGGACCTGTCACGTGTGGCAAAGGAGGCAAACACAGTTCCGAATGGGGCCAACAGGGCTGATGACCACCTGGCCCAGTGGGATTAACACAGAGGCCCTGGGGTTGGGGAGCAAGCTATGGCAGCCACTCCCATGCAGGGGACAGCCCTTCTTAAGAGAGTGGGGGTCAGCCACTATAATATACTCAAGCCTGCAGATGTCCTGTCTGTGACCAGAGCCCCCAGCCCTCTGCCTACCCACAGTGTGTGGACAGTCGCTGGCCTTAAGATTCAGATAGAGACTCAAGTGTGGGAGGTGTCACAATGGAAGAAGCCGTGGGGGTCCAGCCCTCCAGGGGTTCAGAGGAGGAACTATGTTACAGACGTGCACATCTGGGCTAAGGAAAGGCTAGGCACCTGCCCAAGTGTCCTCAAGACAAGCCTTGGAGACCTGCCCCCATTCCTGGCGGGCCTGGAGACGCTGCATACCTCCACTCCTTTCCCAGGCAGGAGAGTCTAGCCCCTCCAAGCTCCCTCAAACCCAACTGGCTTCTCCCCACAAGCCCCTTCCTCGTCTTCAGAGTATACTGAACCCCAGGGCACCTGCCTGGGAAGTGCCATGACTAGGGCTTGGAAGTCTCCAGTTGAGCCAGATGCAGCTCCGACACGGGCTCACAGCCTGGCAGGATCCACCCCACCCACACCCCAGCATGGGCCATGACATTGTGCCCGCAGGCTGGGATGGAGCAAGACAAGTTGGCGTGCCAACACTGACAAGGGGAGATGGTCCTGGCTCTCCAAGGCATCCCTGCAGGAAATGAGGCCAGAGCCTTGATAGCTCCAGCTAGGAAGGATCTAAAGAAGCCCTCAGGTCCAGAGTCCCACCTCCACACACAGCTCTGTGCGCACCCTCTGAGAACCAGCAAGGGCCCTTATGGCCCCTACCTTCATGCAGCAGTTGCCCTAGTCAAGGCCTCTCTAGAACCAAGACAGCAGAGACATGCCCAGGCCCAGGAGGGACTGGCTCCTTGGCATCCGTGCCCAGGATTCTGTGAACAAGGAAGTCTGTGCCACGGTGAGTGGAACAAGTCTTCCAGGTCCACTCAACAAAAAACGACCCTCGTTCCTGGAGTGCCAGCTCCCACCTGCCTACACCACACTCCTGCAGACAGCAAACATCCAGAAGCCCCATCAGGGGCTTTGGCTCAGCTCTGGGTCTGTCCCACCCTCTCTGCCACACATCAGTGGGGCCACCATTTGTTCACTGGAAACAACAGAGCCAAGAGCCCTTGAGATACATGCCCCTGCCAGGAGATGGAATGTGCCTGGTGGTCCCCAACCTGAGCATCACCAGGCTAGGCAGCCACTCTCCAGACCTGGTTCCCCGTAGCGCAAGGGTCCCGAGCAGGCTGGAGCAGAAGGGCAGTCACACAGGTACAGACAGGGGCAGGGGACATACTAAGGGCTTCCAGAACAGGCTGCTGCATTCTCCCCAGCCGGAGTGAGTCCACAGAGCAGCACCAAAGGCCTCCAGAGATCTTTCCCTTGAGGTCTGGAGCCTGGTGACAGACAGGGGTTGCTGTGAGTCTGAATCTTCCACACGTCATCCAACTTTTTTATCAAGACAAATACGCTCGCATCTTCGGTAGGAAAGTGCAAAAAAAGTACAGGTAAATGGAATTTCCTCTAAGTAAGTCCCTCTGGAAAAGGTGTCAGGGCCTTGCCCGGCGTGGCTGTGGATGGGATGCTGTGTGGAAGAACACTTCAGCTAGGATGAGGTGGCACTTCTGGACTCCTGTGCAGCCAGGCTGGGCCTCGTCCTCTGTGTGATAGAATTGCTTGATTTCCCTTTTGTATTCCAACACCAGCTCCTAAAAGGGCTGTAGCTTCTCCCCCATGGGGGCTGAGCAGGCGGCCCGGCTGCGAAAGGCAAACCAGTGGTTTACACAATCGGGTGGGCCAGGTGGCCAGGGCCCCCACCGCCCATCCGGGTCATAATTATGAGCAGGGAGAGCCCCAGAATTAAGATCCCCTAGCCCCAGGCCTTTGTGCTACCTGTGAGCTGAGCCCACATGCTGGAGTGTCAGCATCCAGCAGGCCCAGCCTGGAAGCTTATCCAGAGCTCCTGGCCCGGCATCTACCTTACAGGGACAGACAGGACTTGGAGAGAGCCACCAGGAATGGTGACTTTCCTAAGTTCCCCCATCTCTACTCCCAAAAGCCATTAACACACTCAACCCCTCAGGTACTCTCTCTCCCTGGTCCTGAACAGAGAGTGAGGTATGAGTGCAGAGCCTACCATCACGGGGGACAGTGGGGGCAGGACAGGCTCCAGGCTAGGAGCAGTAATCACATGGATCAGTGACACCTGGCCAAGAACACATGTGCACATACAGATGCCCACATGAGTGTACACACACACACACACACACACACACACACAACCATGGCCAAGTCTAAGCTAGAATGTGACTCAAAAGCTACCAGAAACATTAACACTCCAAGGCTCAGAGGCATGCACCAAGTGCACAAAAGGACAAATTGGAGGGTACAGGAGGATGGCGTGGCCAGCGAGCCCCTCACCTCAGCTGGAAAGGAGCGCTGCAACAGGGAGAAGTCACGAGGACGGCTAGATGTCTGCCAAGAAGAGATCAGAGCATGGGCTTGCCTGGTGTCCCCAGCAACGGGCAGGCTGGGCCCTAGAGGGCACCGTGTGCATGCTGCCCGGAAGCGGGGGGACCTACCAGTCACATAGGGCCCCAGGGGCATCTGGTTGTAGTTGACAATCCCTCCCGGTCCAGGGCCCCGGAAGTTGGGCCCAAAGCTGTTGTTGTACATCTGAGAGGAGCCGAAAGCGCCCTGGAGGCAAGGACCAGCTTGACAGGTGACAACCAGAACATCGCCCAAGCCCCACCCAGGGGCACCCACCCGTGCAACAGGAGGACTCAGGCCCGTGAGGCAGTGTGCAGGCCAAACCTGACCTGCTGGATGGTGGGGTCACCAGCACGGTTGGTCAGGCGACTCAGGATACTGCGCTCAGACATCTGCAGACGGGCGGCCACCGGGGGGATACGTGACAACATGGAGGGCAGGCGAGTCACATCCGCCTTCATGTCGCTCAGCAGTTCCTCCAGCTGGTTCAGGACTGCAGGGTGGAAGGGCCTAAGAATGGAGGGCTTGGTCCACCCTCCACAGCTGCCGTTCAGGTAGTGGCCAGGAAGGTGCCATTTGCAAATGTCACATCACACACTCAAAAGTGGGTACCATGGGGTGTGCTTCACCAGGCTCTCCAGAGCCTGGGAAGCCCAGGGTTGCCAGTTGGAGAGATAAGATTTACAAGAAAAAACTCCTCCAGGGGTCCCTGCTGGCAGCAAAAAGCTCTAAACTCCTCCAGGGGCCCTTGATGGCAGTAAAAAGCTCTAGACCCTTGACCCTGGGTTCCCTGGCTGGACAGACAGCAACCCCACCTGACCCTTGGACACTAGGCTCACAAAGCATAGCTGCCAGAGGGGACAGAGCATGGACCAGACTTTCATGTGGGAGCAAACGTTAGCCACATCCCTTTCCAGCCTGGGCTGTGCCCCGCCTCCAATGAGCCTGGGAGCCCCCAAACCAGAAAGGCAGAGATTTGGAGTGAGACTTGAAGGAGACGCTGGAAAAAAATTTCCCCTTCCTAAGTTCCAATGCCCTTGCCCCAAGATGGAGACACTTAAGATCGAGTGCTCCCCGGGCCGGACCACCAGAGATGGGGACAGGGCTCGCTCACCCTTGTGCAGCACAGCGTTGGCAGGCTTGTTCCCAGCGAGGGACTCCTTGGACAGGTGCTGGTGGCTCTCAGCAAGGCACTCCACCTCTGCCAGGCGGGCGTTGAGTGCCATGGCTGGGTGGTTGGGATCCTGGGTCATGTTGAGGTACGCTGCCCTCCGGAGCTGCTCCTCAATCACCAGTGCCTGCTCCAGCAGCTGGGGGATGGGGTGATGGGGGGTGACAGCACTGGTCTGGCCCCTCGTCCCAGTCACTGTGCGACTCCCCCAGCACCCACCGAAGCAGAGGCTCTGGGCCAAAAGGAGAGGAGGCCTACCCCCTAACTCTCCCTCCTAGCCTGATCTACTGGCCCTAGGACTCCTCCACACTGGAGCTCTGCCTGCCGACACTGGCTGACAGACTCCCTGAGGAGAGACTGACCCAGGTCTAGCAGCTACAGGGATGGGTCGGGAAGCTAGTATCCCTGGAGGCCCACCTTGAACCTGCGGGCCAAAAATTTGTTCTTCATTTCCAAATAGTTGCCCTTATGGATCTCAGACTTGAAGGGTTCATTTAGGATCATGTATCGAGGGTCATTCTGAATGTCCTGCCAGCGGGCATAGCCATGCCTGGGCGGTACAGTTAAGGGCAAGCTGGCCATGGGAATGAGGGGCTGGACAGCAAGGGTGAGGTGGGCCAACCGGGGTCCCAGCTTGCTGTCAGGGACCAGGCAAGTCACAGCTTCAGCGGTGATGAAGACCTTAGCAAGGCTCTGAGAGGTGCCAGGCCGGGCCTCGAGGCCTCCTAACGTTGACTCCATCCCAGCACCCAGAGGGGCATGTGCAAGCCCCACCCCCTAGAGCCTAAGAATGTGGTCTTATCCAGGTGTGATCAAAGGGTCAGACTAGGAAAGAGGGAGCCTAAATCCAATGACTATGTCAGGAAAAGGGGACTGGGGAAGACAGACAGATGGCCACAGAACACTCGAAACACAGAGGCCTGCCAAGCAGGGTCAAAGTTTTGGGAGCTCATCAGAGGCTAGGAGAGGGATGAAGGTCCTCCCTAGAGCCTATGAGTCCCCTGAGGACCAGAGAGACAGAGCAGAGTCACCCCAGCCGGGCTAACCAAGGATACGTCACGATGCCCGCCAGCAGCCAGTAGTCATGGCGGCGGTGCCAGATTTCGTAGATTTTCCCCGAGGACACAGCGGCCCGTTCCTCATTCTGCCACAGTGTGTGCAGTTCTGAAGAGAGGAGCCAAGGTGAAAGGAACAAAAGGCTTCCCCCACACACACTCCTCTCCACCCCTCCTCAGCTTATGCACAGACTTCCTCAGCTCCAACCATTAGAGGGACGTTGTCCTAGCATTGCTAAGAGGGGCATATGATGGCCTGTTATCAACCATTCGGACCCCACATAAAATTACCATCTGCCTAGACTCCTGGGAACCACAGTGGGGAAGGGGACCCACAGCCAGGCCCTTGTCTCCTGTCCCACCTCCATACCTGTGAACCCCCCATCTGCGATGTTGAACATGAACTTGAATTTCCCATTCTTGTCATCTTTCTTCCCCTCCTCGTCTTCCTCTCTGTCACCGTTTTGCTGTGTCTCCACGGGTTCCTTCTCCTCAGCCTTGGGGTCATCTGGTGGGGAGGGGACGGGCCCAGTTCACTGTCTGTCCAGAAGGCATTACTACCCAAAGCCCTCTTCCTACCAAGCCCTGGGAGGCCCCAAAATGAGCTCATCACACATGGGGACTTAGAAAGGAAGCCGCCCTTCCCCCACCATTCCATCCTGAGCAGATTGACTGGGCCAGACCCTGGCACCCCATCCCCCAGCACACTAGACCCTCAGAGCACAGTGAAGGGACCCTGAGGGGTCTGACCAGGGGGTGCTGCTCTAGAGCCAACATGCAAAAAAAAAAAAAAAAAAAGAAAAAAAAAAAAAAAAAAAAAACCTGAGCCACAGAAGTCTGTGAACCAGGTCTCCCTCCCTGGGTGACTGGGGATGGCAGGGGTAAGCGGAGAGGTAGGATGAGTCTGTCCCCTGGATAAAGAGCCATCGTGACAGGAAGCACTTGCAAGTACAGGCTCCTGTCCTCTGGCTCCAGCCAGGGCTTGGGGGTAGCACCCACGAAGCTGACCGCCAGGCTTGAGGCATGGGGGTGGGGGGAGCCCACACCTGGCCTGAAGTCGCTGCTGTGGCTCAGGCTCAGCTCCAGCTTGTCTGAGATTGGCTCCTTGTCTGGCAGGACTTCCTCTGCAAAACAAGAGGGGGGCTTGTGGGCAGAGGGGGGCCCTCATCCATCATAAGTGTTACAGCCCAGAGAGCTCCCCAGGGGGTAGGGCCGCCCTCCTCAGGCTCCTTAAAGGACCACCTTCAATGCTCGTGTACCAAACACCTGTTCAACTAAAGTAATCAGCCAAATCAGTGTGCATACATGAGTGTGTGTGCGTGTGTGTGTGTGTGTGTGTGTGTGTGTGTGTGTGTGTGTGTGTAGGCCAGAGGTTGATGCCTGTGTCATCCTTGTGATCCCCTTATTTTTTAAGACAGCCTTGTTAAACCTGAGTTTGGCTAGACTGGCCGGCAGCCCCAGGGCTCCACCTGTCTCCACCAGCACTGGGATTATAGGCACGTGCTGTATTTTGGGGTTGGTTGGCTGTGGGGTGAGAGTTGGTTTGGGGTTGGTTTTGGTGTTTTCCATTTTTGCCTTTGCTCTCTGTGTGGGTGCCGGAAATCATACTCAGGCCATCCTGCTTGCACATCCAGCCATCCCCAACGTCCCAAAGTAAACTTCAAGGCCAAATCTATCAAGAGGGACAATAACTATTACAGACTACCAGCAGCTTCTTCAGCAGGAAGACACTAAACACCAAAACAAATGTTCACCTAGCAACATAGTCTGGTGTGGTATTGAACTTGCAATCGTAGTGAGATTTTTAACATAAAGTCAGGAAGTGACTGACCATAGCAGACACCAGTGGGAAGATTAAACCAAAATCTTAGCAGTATAATTAGCAAGTTCTACCTACTGATCAAAAACAGGCATTAAGAACCTCACACACTTGCCTTTTTCAAGTATACACTAGGCATTTACAAACCCCAGCTGTGGTAAGCCAGAAAGCAAGTTTGACAGTGTTGGATGGTTCTTGTTTTCAAACAAGAGCCCTGTAATCCAAACATAACCCAAGAACCCCAAACTCCACAGGACTAGAGTCTGTGTATAAAGACTGACAGCCCCACCCACCAGCACCCAGTCAGGGTAAACAGCCTGGAGTATGGTCCAGAGACCTGCCCAGGGCCATTAGAAGTTGTGCTCTACCTTTCAGTGGCTGCTCTGGAGAGCCCTGGGCATTCTCCACCTCCTCCATCCTCTCCTCCCGAGCTCTGTCCTTGCTGTCTGTGCTCTGATGCTTATCTTCACCCTCTGCTCTGTCCAGGGCAGTTGGCAGGGCCTAGAAGAACATGTTAGGGAGCTGCAGGACCTGGGCCTTGGCAAGAATGTAGGGCAGGGAATATGGACAGGGCTGGGAGCCCTCAATCCCAGATGCCCCTACTTGCTCCCTGCCTGGTCCCCTAGGCCCAGCATGGAGCTGAGAGCCAGGAAGGCCTAGGCTCTACCCAGCTGGGCTGACCAAGCAAGCTCCCCCAACACTTCCCACTGGCCAGCCACCATTTACTCCATACCTGGATTTCCAGGGACTTCTTTGGCTTCTGCATGCCTGATTCCTTCTCCTCCATGTAGCCCAGCTGGGCCTCCATTTTGTCTGCAACATTAAGGGAAAGAGATGAGACAGGTGGGCTTAGACAGGACAAGGGAGCAGGGCAGGGGAGGGGTGCCAGAGGAGAGAGGGGCCTGGCCTTGTGGGTGCTCTACAGTGGGAGAGATGCGACGGCAAGGCTCCAGGTCAGGCCTCCAACGCAGACCCTAGTAGGACACCTTGGGCCTGGTGAGGCCACGGTGGGCACTGTCAGGATGGAGTAGGCACACATTGCAATTGCTCACTGGAAACAGGGGGAAGGAGCGTGGCTCAGGGCCGGGTTTCTTTACGGGGAGATGGAAAGGCTCAGCAGGAGCTGCTAGCCAGAGGCTTTAGAAAGGCAGACTGAGTGGCATGTGTGTGAGTAAAATCCCAAAGCCGCTGCTAAAAGGAAAAGGGTCTGACAAGATGCGGTTTGGGGGTGACCCTCACACTGTGGGCTACACGGAGGACTTGGTCCATGTCCCATGACCCATAAACTCTCTCAGGCTCTCCCAGGCTCTCCCTAAGCTCAGACCTGGCAAGCCCAGTGGGGCCGGTGGGAGCTGTGCAGGACTGGCTGGCACGGGCGTGTTGGGGTCCGAGGAGATCACCTCGCCAGGCTTCTTGCCCTCAGGCCCCTCGGGGACCAGGTCTGGGGTGCTGTACTTCCCATTGACATGCTCAAACTCCTGCACCTGGGGCAGTAGAAGAGCAGAGGGGACAGTGGTCACCACCTAGAGACGCTCACAAGTCAGAGAGTGCTGCAGGCTTGGAGAGCTGCAGGCTTGGGGTGCTGCTCTCTCCGGGACTAATAAGAACAGACAGATGCCCTTCTGACCCAAACTTCTGCCGGTGTTTCCACTCCCTAGAGCCGCTCTCTGGCCTCGGCCTCCCAGCCCTCGCCCTGCAGGGCTCCTCCAGTCTGTCCCTTTGGTCTGCCTCAGGCCTGGATAGCTGTGTGAGCAGACCAGGCGTTTGTGCTTTGGCAGCTGCCCCACCACCAGGGGCAGTGTCAGGGCCACATGCCAGCCAGAAGGCTAGTAGAGGCTTACTCACCCACCTTCTTCCTAACCAGCGACATGACCCCAATCCGCGTGAGCACGTGCTGCCTGGACAGGCCCTCCCGGGGCACGCCGTCTGCGAAGGTCTCCGCACCGTCTGCCCCAGGCTCACACAGGTGCCGCATGAAGAGGGACACATAGGCTCTGGGTGGGGAGGACTGGGGCTCAGGGAGTGAGGGGGGCTGGCCGGACCCCCAGGGACCTCACGGATGGAATTCTCCACCACAGCATGCCTTGAAAGCAGGCCTGCGGGAGCCATGCCCCTGGACGGGCGGAGGAGCCTCCTGGCCGGAGACCCTCCTTACACTCCTGGCCCTGGACAGCCAAGTTCACTATCCCAAATAGTTTGGGCAGGAGGGCCGCTGGCCAGTGTTTTGTATAAATCAGCCCTGCCAAACACACCATGCCCAAAGATCTGATGGCCATAATCTCTCCAGGCACCCTTGGCCAGAAGGGAGTAGGCATGTCCGCTGGAGGGGGCCCACTCCACCAGGCAGGGGAGGCCACTCCCTCCGGGGCCACCACCCCACTCTGACCCTTTACCTAAACTCCTTCTCACTCTTCCCACGGAGGTCCCGCACCAGCCAGTGGGAGTTGAAGGCATCCTGAGGAGGCATGCCCCAGCGCATGATGGCATTCAGGAAAGCCTTCCGCTGCCTGGCATTGAAGCCCAGCACCTGGCCAGCGTGGAAGAAAGGGGTGTGGTGCCAGGTTAGCCAAACAGAATTAGGATGGGGAAGAAAAGCAAGGGGAAAGGCCGGAGGATCCCTCCTGGCTTCACCGCTATGTAAGAATTCCTCCCCCGACCCCCGTTCCTCCTCCATACCCCAGAGATGTAACAAGGAGTGTGCCTGGGAGGTGCCGGGGACCCTACCTCAATGTTGCCCCCAACTCGAGCCAGAAGAGGTGGCAGGGGCTTGTCTCTGTCACTCTTCAGCTGCCTCCGGGACTGTCGCCGTCCACCTAGGGTACAGCCCACCGCAGACCCTCAGGCTGCTGTGCAGGGGGGAGCCTCCTTCCTGAAGCTCCCAGGGGACACCCCAAGCCCGGCCTCACCTAACCACCACTCCCAGCCGTGCTGTGATAAGCCAGGTCCCCCACTAACACTAACTAACACTCACTCTGCCCTTCCGGCCTCTCCTCAAAGTCCTCGTCCTCGTCCTCGGAGCCGAGGGAATACTCCGACTGGTTGTCCGAGAGCTCGTCCTGCCATTCTGTAGGCAGAAGATGGGCATGGAAGGGGTCTGCCCCAGCCTGATGCACCTAGGCCAAGCCCAGCCACAGCCAACCGGTTACTCTCTCAGGAACTCAGCTACTAATCCCAGAACAGGCCGACACACTCAGGAATGACACTGCTACCCTGCCCATTTCCACAGTTGGAAGCACAGTTGGAGGCTCGTCCATACCCAACACTGCCCTGAAGCCACCTGAGTGACAGCCAATCTCGTCCCCCAACCCCCCCCCCCCCCCCCCCCCACACACACACACACACACGGTTCCCCAGAGCCCTGGCTCCCACTCCTGCCCTGCCCCCAGCCCCCGCTCACCACACGCACCCTGGTCCTCCTGAGAGGCATCGTTGTAGTTGACCTGCTTGCGGATGCGCTTGCCCTTGCCCAGGTTTCGGGCCAGGTCCTCTTGCTGCTGCTCATAGTGATGGCGCAGCAGCTTCTCCCAGTAGTCCGGGTCCACATTCTCCTCCTGCTTAATCACCTCCCGCTCCACCTCCTCCTGGGGGATGGGTGGGCACACCCAGTTGCTTCTCTACACCTCCCCCACCTCCACAGGCCCAGAGGGCAAGTGAGGGGACTTGGCTACTCCAGGAAGCCCTCCCCCACCAGCCCCAGCTGGTCTTCTCACTGCTTCTGTCACTGTCGCTCACTCACTTCACATGTATGCCCTGGCCTTGGTGGGGGACTGTAGGACCCAGACACTGCCCTTGGGGTTTGCGGTTTTAAAGGGAAGCATAACCAGTGCCCACATTTGCAAGGAAGGCGGCAGGGGCTCAGAGGATGTGGAAGAGCCAAACGGGAGAGGCTAGGAGCTGTGGAGCAATCAGGCTTTCCAGGACACAGGAGGGAGATGAGGTAGAATGTTCTAGAAAAGGACTGGAGGGTAGGGAAAAGGCTAAGGGTGGGGCCACAAGGGGCAGTGGCCATGGGGTGGGCCATGAGCACTCAAAGGTCTTACCACGCCGTCTTCCTCCCGGACCACATACTGTGCCACCTTGAAGGAGCTCAGGTACTCGTTCATGTTCTGCAGCTCCGTGTCATCCGTGGCATCCTGGTTCCGATCCAGCAGCTTGGATATGGCTGCGTCATCATAGTGGATCACACTGCTATCTTCCACATCCTTGTTGTCACCTGGGGGTGGACAAGGCATAGTGTGTGGACACAGGTGTAAGGTTGGCCCAGGTCCAACCTTAGGATCAACCCCTAAGGATGGCGCTTCTGCTGTGGTGAGGCCCGTAACGGGCAAGGAAGCTAGGCCACACCCTGGGCAGGTATGACAGCTCCCTCACCACCCACCACCCAGCAAGGGCCTACAGAGGACAGCTAAATGGGATGCCACGGGCAGCAGAGGCCCTCCTCCTGCCCAGGAGCCTGGGGGTGGCTCAGGTGGCCACCTACCTGGTGGGGTACTGCCATGCTTTTTCTTCACACTGGCAGCCAGAGATCCGCCCTTGGAGGACTGTATGTCAGGGGTGGGTGTGGCAGGCCTCTGGCCCTGGGACACCATGCCTGAAAGGCAGAAGAGGAGGGATGCTGGTTCCAGGGTCAGTGGACAGGGCTGCCACACTAGGGCACTCTGGGATCTGTCACAGGCTGGGAGTAAAGGCGGGGTCTCAGGGTCCTGGATGGTTATGTCTGCAACAGGGCCTCCTCAAGCCCCACGACACTGCCAGGAAAGGGGGCCCACCCTCCATGTCATCCTTGAAGAGCTCCTCTGTCCCGAACTTCAGGATGTCGTCCAGCTCCTGCTTGGTCATGGAGCCCGACTTGGAGCCCAGGCCGGGCCGCACCACCAGGTGGGTGAGCATCATCTTGCGCTTGGCCACCTGAGTGATGCGCTCCTCCACAGAGGCCCGTGTCACGAAGCGGTAGATCATCACCTTCTTGTTCTGCCCGATGCGGTGAGCGCGGCTGAAGGCCTGGGGGAGACCGCAGCTCAGCACCCAGGGTTTGACTCAGGGCTCCAGGCCACAGCTGGGTGCACCGGGAAGGACCACACGTGTCAGCCCAGGGTCATGCAAGGGGCAGCCTGATCACGTGGGGAGAGCAACGCATGTGCGCACAGCTCAGTGTGGAAATGAAGCAACCCAGGGTCCCAATGCGGAACCTTGGCAATGTGGCCTATGCCTCACGGTGTGTGAGTGATGACTGAACAGCAACGCCATGTGCTGGGAACACGGCCACCCTTGAGAGCCGCAAGACCTGGAGACTGCCTTGGATGGTATGCCTGGGACTCCAGTCTGTCTTCATATGACATGGCCCTGGTGTGACAGTGTATATGACACACTGTGTGTGTGTGTTTGTGTGTGTGTGTGTGTGTGTGTATGTGTGTGTGTGTGTGTACCCCAAACTGTCTAAGTGTATCATGTTCTGCCCCAGAGTGAGGTGATGGGAGAACACTGGGTGGTTCTATTCCTACACCCTCTTGTTCTCTCTCCATCCTTCTTCTCATTCCATCTGTCCCCTCCATGTCATCCTCTCCCCTCTGACCAGCAGGCTCCCTGTATTGCTTGTTCCCTCCAACACTGACACCCCCTTATGGGTCCTGTGACTCCCTCAGCCTGCCTCCTTCCATGACCAGGCCCCCTTCAGGCTGGCGTGGCCCAGCAGGGGGCACAGACCTGGATGTCGTTGTGTGGGTTCCAGTCCGAGTCATAAATGATAACGGTGTCTGCTGTGGCCAGATTGATGCCCAGGCCGCCGGCACGTGTGGAGAGCAGGAAGCAAAACTGCTGGGCCCCAGGAGCTGAGAAAGGGGCCAACAGGCACGTGGGAGTTAGTGGGCACACCTGGCAGGGGTCAGGTGGACAGCGGGTAAGAGGGCAGGAGAATCGGAGCAAAGGTTGCCTGGCAGAGGGTAGGAAAGAGGCTGTGAATGCAGAGGCACAGCCACATCTGCCCTTAGAAGCCACGTCTGCTGGGCTCATGCAACCCCACTGATGCCAGGGCCTGGCTGAGTCGGAAGGAGCCGGAGTCAGAAGGAAACCAGCGTCCAAGGTCCAGATAAGTACCAACCAAGGAGGCCCAACTACTTTGTGGCAGGTGGCATTTCCTTCTCGGTCTGCCTTCTTCTGGTCCAATCCTAATGCTGCGCTGAGTCTCCTTAGAACCCAACAGACCATAAAAAAAAAATCTCTGGCATGGTGGCACACATGTAAGGCCAGCCCTGGGAGAGCGAAGTGGGAGGGTGGGGAGCTAGAAGTGAGCCGGAGCTAGATAGTGAGACCTTGTCTTAAGATAATAAAGCCAGGGCCAACAGCTGTGATCCAAGGGCAGGTGTGCTTCCTCCATTTGGAAAGCACTGTTAATTGGGTGGCCAGGCTAAGACCCCTGGGACACAGGGGTCCCTTGAGAGGGTGAGTACCATTGAATCTGTCGATGGCCTCTTGCCGGAGGCCCCCAGTGATGCCCCCGTCGATCCGCTCATACTTGTAGCCCTCGTACTCCAGGAAGTCCTCCAAGAGGTCCAACATTTTGGTCATCTATAAGAGACGTGGATTCATGAGTGGTAGCTACCCAGCCAGGACCCCACCAATGGTAAGAGAACGGAGACACCCAGAGTAGGGCGACACGCCTGAAACAGGCCACCCCAAAAGAAGGCAGCCTCCAGCCTCACCCACCACCCCTTTTCCAGAATGGCCCCATACACAGCCTCAGGTTCACTCCCACCCCACCCCCAGTGGGAGACCCCCAGCACATCTGCTGGCATCTAACACTGCAGACCCAAAACTTCCTTTGCCCTTTAACCACTACCAACCGCCTAAGCCCTGACCCCGCACCCCTTAGAGCCAGCAAGCTCCAACAACTCCCCTTTCATTATGTTCCCAGACCTCCACGCTTCCAGAGTCCTGTCTGCTCCCCTCCTGCCTTTTGATAGTTCAACCATGTGAAGCTATCAGCAGACACCTCAAAGCATGGGGATTTGGCTACTGCCCTTTGCCACCCGCTGTCATTGGTAAGTCTCAAAGTTTGCCCTCTCAAGTTCTGAAGTGCTGTATTTCCTAGCAGGTGTTCAGGGCCTGGCCTATCAGTTCAGACCTTCCTCTTCCATGGCACGCTTCAGATCTGTGATGCATGCTGGGAACTCCCTCAGCCTTGGGTTCCTGTTATTTACCCAGTCCGACATAACATTTTCTTTCAGTGTGTAAATTCCTCTGCATTTTTGAAAAAGTTTTTCATTTATGTGCACATGTGTCCATGTGTGGGTGTGTGCATGTGCAAACAGGCGGCTGCGGAGGCCAGAAGAGGGCGTCCCATACCCTGGAAGTGTGCCTGTGGGGAGTTACAAGCTGCATGATGCTCGGACCCAAACCCGGGTCCTCTGTGAGAGCAGCAGGCACTCTTCACTGCTGAGCCGTCTCTCCAGCCCCTCTGCGTTCTGATCTGCTGGTCCTTTCTCTGTCCCTTCCTGCTTGTGTCTGATTGTTTTCCCTTATGGATGACAGTCACACCATAATTTTTAAAAATCCAAAACTGCTTTCAGTTTTTCCAGGATGCTCTACCCTCTCTTCATCTGAATTCTGGTTAGTTTTATGGGATGTCTCAGTATACGAGTTCCTAAAGAGCTTGGGGTCTGCGTTTGTCAGATCATTTGGGAAAAGGACGCTGTTCCTGTCATTTCTCCTCTAGTACGTTTCTACCTCAACATAGTTTTCACAATGTGGGCGCCTGACTCACATTTTGTGAAAGAAATGCTATCAGCAAAGAAAACAGATATGACCTGCCAGCTGCCACCCAGTCCAGCTCTAGTCACTGGCCTGTCTTGCCTCTATGGACTCTGCAGCTGCTGCCCACCACAGTTTGCCACCACAGCAGCAGGCGCTGGCAACCCTTTCAACTCAACCTTTTGCACAGAACTAAACCCAAGTTCACACTGAGAAAAGCCTCACTCAGTCCCCGGCAAGGGTTTTGAGCCCTGGGACCCGCACCACTGTGGCCTCCAACACAGACCTGACCACTAGTTTGGGCAAGTGTCTCCTGAGTTACATTTTCCCACTCCAAAATGGGCAGCCTGAGGGGAGGGACTATACCTTCCTATCTGTGCCCAGACACCTAATAGAGAGACTGAAACATGTTGAACTAAACAGAGGGCAGAGGAAGATGGAGTAGGCCATAGAAGCCGGGTGGCCCTGCGTCTGCCTGCACAGAAAGCCGTGCACCAGTGGACCCTGAGGAGCAAGCTACAGAGGGGCTCCGGGAGCTGCTCCCATTGTGGGGTCCCCCCAGACCGACAAGGCAGGACATGAGGGTGAGAAGAGGCTGAACAGAGGAGAGGCCTATCATACCAGCCTGAACACCTGGGCCAGAGGGGCAGGTCCAGCGGGAATGAGATGGGGCATATGCTGGTCTCTATAGCAACCAGACCCTGTCTCCACAAGGCTATGCTGTGCCAGGGGCTCAGAGGCCACATCCAGCCCACTGGCAGGCTGACCCTTCTGCAATGTGAGCTGGCTCCGCCCACCTGGGAGAAGATCAGCACTCGATGTCCTTCATCCCGCAGCCTCTTGAGCATCTTCTGCAGCAGCATGAGCTTCCCTGAAGACTTGACCAGGGAGCTGCCATCGTAGGAGCCGTTGGGCAATACAGGGGCCTCCTGTGGACACAGCAGAGCAGAGCTTTGGTGGACTCTCCCTCTTGCTTGGCCTCAAAGAGACTGCAGTGACGAACAAGTGCCTGCCTGTGGTCTGGCTGCCCATCTTCCCTGCTGAGCTCAGAGCCCAAGCCCAAGCAGGCTCAACAGTATGGTCACATGGAGCCTGGCTCCAGACACACACTTGAGCATGGCCCAGGCCTACCAGCCTGTCTCTCTGCCTAACTCTGGAATGAAGCTCTGGGGTCTTCCCACAGAACCTGGCTTGCTCAATTGTATCTCTCAAGTGCATCCAACAGTGCCAACCCTTTGACTCCAGAAAGGCAGTTCAACCTAAGGGCAGATCCCAGAAGATTCCTAAGCCACACCCAGTCACAAGAAGGACGTCCAGCCGCCTGAAGCGAGGTCACCCCAGCACAGCCAGCTTGCCCGGCTCTGCAGTAATGGGAAAGCTGGGACTGCAGGAGATGGGTTTGAACCCAAGGGCAGTGATGGGCAGTCTCCCCAGGAGCATCAGCTTCCCAAGATCACAGCAGAGCTGGACGGATTCCAGAGCTCAGCGTCACGCTCAGCGCTCACTTCTGCTGCTTGGCTCATCCAGGATAAACTCCCTGGGGATGAAGTAAAGCCGGGTCGGCCCTCAGGTTAGCCTCAATACTCCCCGGAGGCCAATGCTGAGCCTGGGGAGGCTTTGGGACTACTGGGAGGGGTTGGGAAGAAATGACCTGGGGCCAAGCAGTGGGCAGAGGCAGCTTCCAAAGAACAGGATGGAGACACACATCTCAGCACTCACACTCAGGAAGGAGTGGAGGACTGGAGGCAAGGCACCCAGCCATGGGCACCTTCCACAGAGACCACAAGAAACCCACCACACCGGGAGGGGGGAGGGAGGGGCTTATGGGGGGATACAAAATGAATAAAGTGTAATTAATAAAAGTTAAATAAAAAATTTAAAAAAAAAAGAAAAAGAAAAAGAAACCCACCACAGCTGCCAGACACCCACACAGTGACCACAGAGAACATACGGTACCACACTGTCCACAGGGAACACATCATGGCTACCAGAAAGAACCTTCAATGGTAGTTCAACCGTGGCACCCACAGGGATCTGCCATGACCACAAGGAACTTCCCACAGCAGTCACATGAGACATGATGGCCACAGACACGCTATCACAGTGGCCACAGAGAACACAAAAGCCAGTAGACAACTACCATGAGGGCCACAGAAAACCTACCAAGGAATCCACCAAAGCAGCCATAAGGACCTGCCATGATGGCCACAGAGAACACAATGCCCACAGGGACCTGCCATGACGGCCACAGGGATCCACCACAGCAGCCACAGGAACCTGCCATGACGACCACAGAGAACACAACACAGTGCCCACGGGAACCTGCCATGATGGCCACAGGGAACCCACCACAGCAGCCACAGGGAAGAGGTATGGGTGGTTGCAGCACTTTTTCAGGTCCATCATGATGTTGAGCAGAGACACCTGGTTGCCGCCCCCCTTGGAGTTGAGTGCTTCGAAGTTCCGCGTGAGGATGAACTTGTAGTACTTCCTGCAAGAGGGCGCCGGGTAAGGTTGGCTGGAAGATCCAGACCCCGCCAGACTCCTGAAGGGCGCTCTCTGCCTTCAGAGAGGCTGGTGATGTCCCGGCCACCACATACAGGATGGCATGGGGAGCCCAAACGTCAACGGGAGACATTACTAAAACTTGGGCAGCCTGGCTAGCTGCTGAAGTCCACGGAGGGGGAAGGAGATGCACTGAGCCAGGCCTCCTGTCAAGCCCAGGAAACAGTCAGGAAAGCCAGAGGGGGCTGTGGTGGCTGATGACACGGCTGGGCCTTCGTCACTCACTTCTGCATCTGACTCAGCTCCACGCGGACAATCAGCTCTGTCTTTGCCGGCATGTTCTTGAACACGTCAGCCTTGAGCCGCCGAAGCATGTGTGGCCCCAGCAGGTCATGCAGCTTTTTGATTTGGTCTTCCTTGGAGATGTCAGCAAATTCCTCCAAGAAGCCTTCCAGATTGCTGCAACAAGAACCTGGGATAAGACCAGAAGCAGAGAGCCAGAGCAGACCACAGCCCTCTGCAGAGGAAATCAAGACCAGGGTGGGTGAGGCATGACAGGGGCCCCGGCCAGCAAGGCCAGTGGCTGGGGGTCCAGAGAGCCTCGGCACAGCTGAGTGGCCACTCAGGCTCCATCTGAGCCTGCATCACCCACATGTCACAGCCCTCGGCCACACAGGGTCCTTCCCCTTCCTCACAGCTATTCTGCACATGCGTTCTCAGAGACAGTCCAGATGACAAGAAAGGAGACTGAGGCTGAAGAGCACTCAAGGTTACTTGGGGCAGAGTGCCAGCCTGCCCTTGAACCAATACCCAAAGCAGGCCCCCTCCTCCCTGAGCTCCCGCCCCCATTCTGAGCAGGCCTAAGGAGGAGGGTGCCATCTTTATTCCCATCCTCACCCCATCCCAGTTCTGGCCTCTGCTCGCCATCACTGTGCTCACGTGAATCACTGAGCCAGAGGCAGGCAGAGAAGGAGGCACAGGGGTAGGAACCCAGGAGATGCCTCCCGGCCTTCTGGGACAGAGCTGAGGAAAACTATGGTTTGGGGGGGGGGGGGCAGCTGCAGTTTTCCCAGGGACGGTGAATGCTGAGACCTTCCCACACAAGACCATCATAGAATACTGCCCGTGTTCCCATTTCACTAATGGGTCCCCAAGAGGGTCTCAGAGCCAGAACTGCTGCCACTTTTCCACCCATTGCTCTGGCCAGGCTCAGGGGACGCACTTGAACCTCTCTGGAGTCAGGAAGTTGAGGAGATGGAACAGCTCTTCCAGGTTGTTCTGGAGGGGGGTCCCTGTCAGCAGCAGCTTGTAGTCAATCTTGTAGCTGTTCAGGACCCTAAAGAACTTTAGGGGGAAGGAAGGGGCTGTCAGGGGACATAGAGCAGCGGCCATGTCAAGGGGGTTAAGGCCTATGGCCAACACCTCTTACCTTGGACTGGTTGTTCTTAAGCCGGTGAGCCTCATCTACCACAAGGCAGGCCCACTCGATGGAGCCCAGGATGGCCTGGTCAATGGTGATGAGCTCATAGGAGGTGAGCAGCACGTGGAATTTGATCTGCACTTCCTTCTGTGGAAGGAGGCAGCGGGGACAAAACACATCAAAGGGACAGAGACAGAATTAGGAAACTGTGAGCAGGGACCCCACAAGCATTCTGGGAAGCCTCCATTTCAGGGACAAAGCACAGAGCCCTAGACCAAGGCAGTGTTGAGGATGAAGAACAGCCCCCCATGATTGCGTGCTGCACATCCACATTGGATCCGCATTGGACTAGTCTTGCGTGGAAAACGTTGAAGGATATAACTGCGACCAGGACTTGGTGGATGAACATGAGAGACTGCAGTTTGGGTCTCCAGAGCTCACAGAATGCCAGTCACAGTAGCACAGGCCTGTAATCCCAGTGAGATGGGAGGCAGGGACAGCAGCCCACAGGCTGGCAGGCCAGCTAGCCTGGTATATGCAGTGATGAGACCCTGTGTGAAACAGGGTGTATGTGGGGGTGAGGCAGGAGTGTCACTGTGTACGTGTGGGTCAGAGGATAATGTCAGGAGTCAGCTTTCCTGCTTGCCGAAGAGAAGCATTTTGTTGCTGCTATGCTGTGAACGCCAGGCTAGGTAGTCTGCTACCTTTTTTTTTAATGATCTTTTTACCAACCCTCTAAGAATTTCACACAATATACTTTAATCATATTCTTTCCCTACATCCCCTCCCACCACGCTGCCCACCTAAGTTTCATGTTCTTTCACTCTCAAATAAATAAAAGCAAACATACAAGTGTGCAGCCTGTTTTGTTGGCCAACTGCTTCCTAATCATGAGGCCTGACCTACAGTGTGGCTCACATACCCAGTTTTCTCCGTTGAAGAAAACTGACTTTCCCTCTTCCAGCAGCTATTCATTTGCAAACAGGTTCTGGCTAGGGCGGAACTGTGTGCTACTTCTGTGTGCTAGGGCTCCGCGTGGCTTAAGCTTGTGTGGATTCTGCACATGCTGTCACGGTCTCTGTGAGTTCATTTACTATCTACCCTGCTGCATCAAGAAGCTGCTGTTTGCTTGAAGTCATCCGCTGCCTCTGGCTCTTACAGTCTTTCTGCCCCCTCTTCCTTGGATATCCCTGCACCTTGAAGTGGGACCTGCAAGCTCCGAAGCAGTTATTCTGTCTTTGCCTCCCATTTTGTCCTAGGAGTGCTGGGATCACAGGCACATGGCCTGTATCTGGCTTTTTTTACATGAGGTCAAGGATGAAGCTCACGCTCAGGCTAGCATGGCAAGCTCTTTGACCCTGTCGTCCCACTGAGCCTAGCTGGGGTATTTCACAAGTGCAGACTGCCATCTCCGTGCTCCCAAGAGGAGCTGCTGGGTCAGAGTTTGCCCTATGACAAGAAAGACCCCCTGGGAATCCAAAGCACAATGAGAACACCAAGATGCTACGCCCACTGTTTACTAACTCTTGGCCCTCCCGAGATAAATACTGCCTTTCCAACAGTCGTATCCACCTGGACTTATTTTTGGAAACAAGGCTTGGCAGGTAAGAGTTACTTGGCTAAGGCGTGGGTGGCACTCCCTCCAGCATGAGTGGCATCTATATGAGAGGAAGCAAACCCAGGGAGGAGCATGCCAGAGAACAGGGGCAGAACAGAGAAACACAGCCATGAGCCAGGCAATGCGCAGCTCCCAGAAGCTGGAAGAGATGGAAAAGATGGAGGCCTCCTGAGCCTCACAGGGAGCCTGGCTGACCCAGCTGGCTTCCAGGCAGTCAAAAGCAGCTCTGTGGAGCTAAGCCTCTGTTGATGGCATGCCGTTACATCAGTACAGGACAACTGTGCTATCAGCCCGCCCGGGCTGGGCGCAGGGACCTGGACGCCACAGGGCTCGGTGGCTCCAGAGCCTCCTGGTCTGGGGTGAAGACAGCACTCACCTTCATGCGGAACACTTTCTTCCCACCTCGGATGGCGTTGTCCTCAAAGGAAAACTCGTTCTCACGGATCACAGAGCGGCTCTCCTTGTCTCCCGTGTAGGTGACCACGTAGAAGTCGGGTGCCCACATCTCGAACTCCCGCTCCCAGTTGATGATGGTGGACAGGGGCGCGCTGACGAGATAAGGGCCCTTGGAGTGGCCCTGTGGGGAGAGCCTGAGGTGGTGAAGCTGCCTGCCTGGGTGGCACCAAACCCTGCCCTCCGGGCACCCGCCTACCCAGCCCCGCCTGCCCTCCTGTCTGCCCACCTCCTTGTATAGGGAATAGAGGAACACAATGGTCTGCACTGTCTTGCCCAAGCCCATCTCGTCAGCCAGGATGGTGTCGGTGCCCTGGGCCCAGGAGAAGCGTAACCAGTTGAGGCCCTCCAGCTGGTAAGGGTGTAGAGTGCCTCCTGTGGAGTCGATGTACCACGGCTGCTTGTCAAACTTGACTGTGGGCTGGGAGGGTGAGGGGGGTACAGAAGTCAGCCTGAATCCTGGACCGCCAAAGCCAACCCTCAAGCCTTTACAGGCACAATTCCATCTGTCTGAGCCGTCCTGCTCTCCACGCCTTCCTCCCTCTGCTTGAGGTCTCACACAGAATGTCTCTCCTTCCGAGACACCCTTTCTGGCTCCACACCTTAACACCTGCAGAAGCCCCACTCACTCAGTACGTCACTCTGTGCTCCCTTCTGTCCTATGTCTACACACCGCTTTCCCAATGAGATCCTTCCAATGGACCATGTTCCCCATCATAGCTCTGGTCTTTTTGGGTTTTGGTTGTTATTGTTGTTGCTGCTGGGTTGTTTGTTTGTTTGTTTGTTTGTTTGTTTGTTTGTTTACTAAGTCCCCTGCAGTCCTGAGTGGCATCAAACTCAACTATGCAGCCAAGGATAACCCTGAACTCCTGATTCCACTGTCTCCAACAGTCGAGTGCTGGGGTCAAAAGCACGTGCCACCACACTTGATTTAAACCACCCTAACAATCAAACCCAAGGGCCTGGACTTGCTCGGCAAGCAATCTACAAACTGAGCTACATCCTCAGGCCGAGGCAAGCTTCTCAAATCATGCCCAAGGGCTCCAGCATGGTGGTGGGTGTCTTTAAGCCCAGAAATCAAGAGGCAAAGTCAGGTGACTCTCTGACCACCTGATCAGTAGGCTGGAACTTCCCACTGGCCCACACAGGCTCAGTGTCACTGAGAATGACCATCCACGAGGGCCTGGGGAAGGGTCGTTGGGAAAAGACCTCCCTCTACTGCCAAGGGTCAGGGTGGTGAGCCTGTTAACGCCACACACTTCCACGCTCCGTCCACTCACGTCCACAATGGGCGTGTCTGGTGGCTTCTCTTGCTTATCGTCCTTCAACTTCTTGCCCTTCTTGACCAGCCTCTTGGGCAGCCTGGCGTCCTCTCCCAGCATCATTTCCCTGGGTAAAGGCGTCAGAACAAGTGAGCAAAACTCAAGCCAAGGGGAGCCCCAGGGCCCGCCCCCGGCTGCGGCCTCCCGCACCTGTGGCCCCAGTAGGCCTGCTTCAGGTTGTCATAGTAGGGAATGTCAATGTCGTCGATCTCCCAGGTGCACTGGTCATAGGGCAGGTCCTTCCACTTGATCAGGTAGTGCACGTCTCCCTTCTTGTCGAAGCTGCGACACAGGAGCAGAGGGTGGGAGAGGCACGGACATCGGGCCCGGGCAGGGCACCGCATAAATGCCCATCCACTCATGCCCGTGGCCTCCTCGTATCCTGGGCCCAACCAGGAGGGTGGCACCACAGCAAGAGCTCCAGAGAGGCTAAGCAGCTTGCCCAGTGCCACACGGTTTGCAAAAGGAAATGAAGATGTGGAGGAAGTGGCAGAGACAGACATAGGCACAGGGAGAGGCTAACAGACGGCAGTGACCATGTCCTCTCAGCCTACTGCAGGGTGAGGCCACCCTGCTACGTGATCGGAACACGATGAGTGAGGGCCGAGAGCCTCTCCCTGCTCAGAGACTTCATTTTCTAACAGAAAAAATTCACAGCGTTTGCAGTATCAAGCCAGGGTGAGGGTCCTTCCTCACAAAGCCAACAAAGATGCAACTCCTGCAGGTGGGCAAAGCTCCGAGGCGGCCATGGGGAGAGTCCTCAGGGTCTCCTGCTCAATCTGAGCAGGCTCAGCGCCAGGCCAGGAGAGCCCAGCAGAGCCCAGTGGCACCCCTGACTGGCAAGTGGGAAGGCAAATGAATTGGGGAGCTGTGGCCTGGGGACCACGAACAGCAAGGCCAATTCCCAGTCACCATGGAAACCAGTGGCTTATTTTCAACAAGTAATTGGTAGTTATGCACGCTCTGGGAGCTTCACGGGCCCCTCTTTGGGATACAGAGGAAATTGTCCTTTCTGCTCTAGCATGCATTTCAATAAAATAAGGGGGCCGGCAATCCAAGGCACAGGTCAGGTACCGTCTGGAGTCTGGGAATGGGAGGGGTGCTTCATAGTCAATAAGGGACACATTTTTCTCTGTTTCCCCCACACCACTCCAGCAAGGCTTTGGCAAACTCTTGAGGTCCAGCTCAGAAGTCCACGGCCACAGGGGCTCTTAACCTCTGCCCTCACAGCAGCTGACAGCACCGGCAGTCAGGGACACAGTGGAAGGCCACCCAGCCCAAGCTGCCGCCATATGACAGGCACTACCTTCCTCCAAGGCTGGCTGGCAGCCGCCACCTCCAGCACCTGAAATCGGCAGAGGCTCACCCCACCCACCGCTTGAAATCTCTTCCTCCTGCTGGGCCTCCTTGCTCTGGCTTCCTGACCTCTGAGTACCTGGGAATGCCAGACATGAGTGAAGAGGTGGCACAGGTGTGCCACTGGGGACCCTGGCTAAGAAAGCACCAGAAAACTACCAAAAGGTACGGGGCCCTGCAGCCTCAGCTGTGTGATGCAGCCGTGCTGAAAGTATTGCTAATTAAAGATTTGTTTGTTTGATCTGATTCATGCTGGTGTATGCCTTTAATATCAGTGCTCAAGGGGCAGAGGCTGGCAGATCTCTGTGAGTTCAGGGCCAGCCTGGACTGCATACATAAATTCCAAGCCAGTCAAGTCAACATAGCAAGACCTTGTCTCAAAAACAAAAACAAATAAACAAAAAGAGCCGGGCACCATATTGTGCGCCTGTAATCCCAGCACCCAGGAGGCAGAGTCAGGCAGATCACTGTGTTCGAGGCCAGCCTAGTCTGTAAAGTGAATCCAGGACTACACAGAGAATCCCTGTCTCAGGAAAAAAAAAAAAAATTATGAGTACATGTGAATGTATGAATGCCTGTGTGTGTGCCTGGTGCCCACAGATGGCAGAAGAGGTTATCTTGGTTACCTAGAACCAGAACTACATTAGATAGTGAGCTTCCATATGGGTGCTGAGAACCTAACACAGACCCCCTGCAAGAGCAGCTCTAAACCAATGAGCCATCTCTCCAGCCCCCTTGCAGAGACAGAGAGAGAGAGAGAGTTTTAAGACAAGATCTCTCTTTGTGGTCCAGGCTGTCCTGGAACTTGCAATGTTGACCAGGCTGGTCTTGAACTCACAAAGATCTGCCTGCCTCTGCATCCCAAGTACTGGGATGAAAGATGTGTGTCACCAAGCCTGCCCGGAGCTGGGTATATTACTTGAATGCACCTCTTGGGACAGTCACAGTCACTGATCCTTCTTTCTTGGACCCTGCTTGGTTCCCAGACTCTTCCTGCTGACCTCAGTCCCTAACTTGGAGGGAGCCTGGGGCAGCCCAGGTCCCACCCCACCAAGATCCTACTTTGTGCACATTTCTCCACATTTCCCTTTATCCCCGTGCCTCGGGGGCTGTCCTGCTGTGGAGAAGGATGTTGAGCATGACAGGAGGTCCTGTGCAGGAGAATGGTCCTCCTGGCTGGGCAGCCACATGGCCTGCAGTGGGCTGTCTTTGCCCCTCCTCCTGTGGCTGTCCCGGCTGGGAGAGGCAAGCCTGGGCCACTCCACATACCACCTCACCTGTGGTTTAGGATACGGTGGACCATCATCCACTCGGGCTTGATGCCATAGCGGTAGAACCGTTCCTCCATCTTGGCATAGAGGGGGTCCTTGCTCTTCCGCTTCTCGCTCTTGCCGTCCTCGTCGCCAGAACCGTAATCGAAGGGAGGCGGCTCATCCATATCATTCTTTCTTTGGTAGTTGCGATACATCACGGTGTGGTACAGCTCCAGCTGCTCACAGAGGACAAGTCATGAAAGGGAGGTAGGCTGCTCTGCCCTGGTCCCCGACCCAGCCCTACCCTGGGCAGGACAAGCCTCCCCCTCAACTGAAACATCCAGCTCTCACCCAGCCTGACGGGGGCTGAACAGCACATGCCAGCCCAGTCTCATCTACCCCAGAAGGGTCCAAGGCTCACACCAGGCCCAGTGTGACCCTCTGCCCAGGGGTCTCACCTGTAGCTCCTTCACCCAGGAGCAGTGCCAGTAGGAGAGCCCAGCCCACTTGACAAAGAACTCTCTCTCAGGAATGCCCTCCAGAGGCTTGGGCGGGGGCATGCCAGGCTCCACCTCTGGTCCCGGCAGCCCCACTATAAAGGGAGCTGGGGGTTCTGTCCACCTCCAGTGTAGGATTCGCTGAACTTTGCCCTTCAGTGGCGGACACTGTGAACAGAGCATGGTCACCAAGTTTAGGGTTAAGTCACAACACTGAAGCTCCCACGACAACAGACTGTTTGTTACACAGGTCCCCAAGCCAAAACAGTGCCACAGGGACAGTGTGGCATCACACCCTTCCTCGGGTGCCCAACGAGCTGTGCGTGCACAGGGAAGAGCCGTGGAGCTTGTGAGTCCAAGTGGGCCGTTTGGACCTGACAACTTGCCAGTGATTTTCCCTCAGCTCCTGGCAAGTTTAGTTAAACCAGGATGGTTGAGCTCACTCCACGCATAAAAGATAAACCCCACTCAGCAGGGAACAGCTGAGCGAGGAGACAAACCCACGGCTCTGGACGGACTTCCATCATGCAGCCACACATCACCTCGTGCCCCCGGCCTGGAGCCCGAAGAACAATCACGCCCTGTCCTGACCCCGGAGCACCCATAGTGTGGGAGCCTCGCCTGAGCTCATGGACACTGCAGCCTGGTCTTCCTTCACCCCCAAGCAGGGACAGATGTGGCCTGCACATGCACAGCGGGCTGGCTGGGGCGGGAAGTCCAGCTCCCTGAGCCCCACACGCTCAGGCCCTGAGAGGCCATGGGGCTCAAGAGCTCTGCGGCTGGCGGAGCAGTGCACCTTCACTCCTCCCAACCAGCACTCTGGGCTGCCCGGAGATGGCCTCACAAGAGCAGTTCTGAGCCCTAGCTGGGCTGAGGTGAGATGACGAATTTAGAGAGGTGGCTCTGTAGAGGACAGGTCTCAGCTCTGCTGCTGTCCATCTGTGTACCTAGGTACTTCATCGGCTCGTTTCCTTGCCTGAAAAACTGGCCTCTCTGCCTCTGCCCCAAAGAACTGTTGGTGTCAAAGCACAGGTGTGGACATGCTCACACACCCCAGAAGCCATCATACTCTGGCCTCAGAGGGCAAAGAGCAGGGAGAAAGAGGCAAGGTGGAAAGGCAGAATGATTCTCTACACTCCATGGGTGTAAAGGGCCTTCCCAGGCCATGGGCCTCCTGGCCTCACCTCCTGCGGGGAGGTCTAGGAAGAACTAGGCACTACCCCATTCTCAGGAAAGCTATGAAGGCTGCACCCCTCAAGGGGCCTCTCTCTCCCCT